TGCATATTTTAAATAAATATACAATGAGTGTGTACATCTTTATGTATATTCTATTGACCTAACTTAAATCAAAACTACTCCGTATCAATCGAGTATCATTGACACCTTAATGCTCATATACCCTCTTGCTTTTCTACCCCATCACACTTAACGACGGATGACCAAACCTCATTTATCACTTCCTGCAGTACTTTTAAGTTTAATCCCAAATGTTTCCTTTCGATTACTCACAAAGACGGGCACTGAATGAAGTGTGAAATACAAAAAAAATTGAATTAAAATATTGAAAAGCGATATGTTTTTAATAAAATTCAATTTTTATTATATATCCATTATTATTATTATTATTATAATGTTTGTGAGCTACGTTTCAGATAAAATATGTACTCATGGATTTTATAAAATCAACAAACTCTAATTATGTACAATCTGCGTATGATTACATAAAAATCCTTTTATCGTTTCAATCATAATTAAAAATTACTCACGGATTAAATTCATGTATTAAACTCTTTGTAATATTAAATTTCAAATATTTATTTAATTACAAATATCGCTAATCTTTCATTAAAATAATCATGTCATTTAATTGTTAAATTTTATGATTAATTACAGGTTTCAAGTGATACTTTTAGAAATGATTGGGGTGAATGACCGTATTATCAACACCTTAATTTCGAGGCCAACTTTGTCTTTGTATGTAAAATAAATATTTTTTAGAAATTCATATTCATGAATAAATATCAATACAATAAAAATATTTGTATATAATGAATTAATCAACAAATGAATATTTTAATTATCTTTTATTTCTCTTCATGATGGAAAAGAAAAAATCAATTGTAAATTCACTTGAACACTAAAAAAAAAAAATTTATCAAACGTAAAATACTACGTTATATGTTGGCAATTAAGAACTAAAGTATATATAATTTACTCAAGCAACGAAATGGATTTTATTAAATGTAAATAAAAACGTCTGCTAAGTATATATAAACTTTAATCATATTTTCCAAAGTTACGAGCAGAGTATTTTTTCGTAGAGCAGATTATTTACATAAAAAATTGAGTTGATTAAGTAAATGAACAAGTTGATTCACATGAAATTTGCATTTGAAGCGTAAAAAAAAGCCGGTCAATAAAATGCACGTGAAAGGACGTCAGGTTCTTCAAAGTTTAGCCTCCCATACCTTTTCATTGTTTCTTAAGAAATTTTATTGTTAGCATATTTCTACGAAGGTGAACTTGATAGCAACAAAGCAGCTGTTTTCTATTTTCTCTCGTCTTTTGTATCTACACGATTTTTTTCTTGCTACTCCAATGCCTTTTTTACTTCCTCCTAGCCCCTATTCCTTCGAAATAATCGACCTCACTTAAGCAACAAGAGCTATTGTTGCTTGGTAAAAGCAGGCGACAAGGAACTCCTTGTATAATGTAGTCTAACTAGTGCTACTAAAAGTTATAGTTAGTCGCCAAAAAGTAAAAGGAGACAGATTAGAAAGGTCTGTTTCAACTGAGTGACAGTAGAAGAAGAAGAAGAAGAATTGAGAGAACATTGTTGGGAAGATTATTCTGCCAATTTGAAAGAGACAAATAGAAATTTCACGCTTTGTAAGTTGGCTAAAGAGGAAAATTCGCAACAGACATAACGAGGCTCAATTATTACTAGAACAGCACTTGCCAACATTCATCAGTAATCTCTTTTGTCGTTATCGTTCCAACTTTCTGATGTTCTACTCTTGTACACTGAATTTATTTTCCTCAGCACTTCTGAGTTACTTTATGTATTATTCGTGTCTCTCTTTTTTAATTGTTTTGCTACAACACACTGTTTATATTGTTATTGTTATCACACATTACTTCTGTCACAAACTGTTGTTTTTTCATATCAATTCACGTGTATCACACGTTCTTTGTTCTTCCAAGTTCTATATTTATGCAAGGATATTTATTTTAACTCATTCCTGTTTATGTAAGAATATTTATTGTAGTAATTAGCAATATTTGTCAATGACTTTAGATATATATTATTAATGCATAAGCACGCCAAATCACGATAAAAATAGTACAAAGTTGTAGAAATGTTATTTATTTAAAGCTTTGGCTATTCTATCTAATACTTTTGGCATCTCTCAATTATTATAAACATCAATGCCACGATTATCGTTGTCTCAAAATATAACAAATGATAATTTTACTTATCATTTAATTTATTCATTTGTTTATGTCTTCTTATTTCTTTATCTGCGAAAGTTTTCTGTTCAAACCGATTATTATGATTAATATTAATCTTTAAGTAATCTCGATTTATGTTAATTGATATTTACAATGCAAAAAACAGTTTTTTTTTTTTTTGAAATAGCTTTTTCATTCAAGAGAAAATTTTTTTTTATTTGTAATAACATAATATAATCCACTTATAAAGTGTTAGATGTTCTTTTAATCAATAATAATAATGATGATAATGATGATGATCTACTGAAATGTAACGTTTTGTGTCATGTTCTATATCTCCATACACTTGATAAGCAATATACCATCACGATCATCTATCTATTTAGCCACGTAACTGAAATAATATTTACACAGTTTGTGTGTAAACATGCACTTCTACGTATATTTCACGTTGGACAAACCCGTAGAGATTGTCAGGGTAACAAGTTGATTGTATTGATTTATAGATAATGTAAAAGCTACCATATAAAATATAGAATACAAAATATTATAACAGAAAAATTGAAAAAAAAAAAAAAAAATATCAAAATACAAATATTCTAGAATCAACAATAGATAAAAGCCGATTGCTCCAGAAATAAATTATTTTTAAATTCAATATTGGAGGCTTTGTTACATATATATGATAAAGATGTAAATCAATCATCGAAATAAACTAAATGAATATAAATTTTTATTAATCCTTGAACCACTTGTTTTTGAAAATTCATTCATTTTACTTGACATGAAAAATAGTAATGTATATGTGCATGTGTAATAATTAACTGAATATTTATACTGAAAATAAATAAACCATAAATATTTCTAAGTTATGAAAATAAATATGAAACTATTAAAGGTCAAACTACTGATGTGCAATCGAATACAAAGATTAAATTTCTGAAGATATAATATAGCTGAATGTACAGCGGAAGAGCTCGTTTTGCGTGGAGATTACATTGGAATAATTGAAATAGAGGTGAGGACGTGGCTAAATTCCCCAGAAACTCTCGGTTTACTACACGATATGCATATAATACTCCACAAACTGACTGTTTTCCGCCTTGGAAATTGCGGTATACATTGATGGTATTAATTATCGTTACAATACAATGTATCTATTCAACAATGTTACGACTAATTAAATATACCTATCAAATTTGTAATCAATATTTGTGCGGACAAGTATACGACATGCTGTCGAGAAAATTGTACAAAGCATCAATGTATGTAAAGAAATTTATATCCAATGTGGCTAGCAAAGGCTAATTGGTGCGTAAAGAATGATTTATTTCAATGTGACGTAAGATAAATTTCTGTAAGTGCTTTGCATATTTTTAAAACTCAAATACATAGTTTTAAGTAGGTAGGAAATCCATGAAGCATAAAAAGAAGATTTGTTCGTGGTAAATAGAAGTGACTATGAGCTGTCAATGGAGGCTTCAAAGTCTGTATACAAGTGAACAAGTCTACATTGCAGATGTAGACAAGCTCTGATGGTGTTCCCCGCTGTGAGAGTTACCCTATCGTCGTTCAGGTCATTTTTCTTTTCTTGTGATCGTCCTACAGGCACCTGTGTTTACTTTAAACGCATTTCTTGGCAATAATGCAACGACCTTCTCCTCATTTTACCTTTAATTTTTGTATATGAGAGTCATGGGATCCCTAAACTAGCCCTCCATGAGTTGTACCGTTTACTCTGTCTGGTGCAGCATGAAATTCAACGGTCCCCTCAGGCCCAAGAACCTTTGGGGAACAACCCCCCCCCCAATACAACAATTCCCCAACTTTAAAAGTAGACATCGAATACACCGTTCTTCTGTCATTCAATTCATCTTTAGAAATCCCAATGATTTTTTTTTCAACACAATCGTGCAATTATTGATACCATTTATCTGTTTTTAATTTTCATTCCTAGAATTGATGATATTATCGAAAAAAAATAATACGTAAAGAGATGTTATTTCATATTTGAGGCAAAAAAATTTTTGATCAAAATTCCAGTGTTTTTTTTTACTAAAATCTTTCCTGTTGATATTTACATTTTGCTCTTTTCGTGATATCTATTCACAACATTAGTGGTGGTCTACAATGTACTTATTGCATCATCGTTTTTAAAAAAGGTTTAAAAACACAACATTGCATCAACAAAAAATTATATTACTTATCCAATTTATCAGATTACAATTACATCCTTAACTATAAAGCATATTGCAAGAAAAAATTGGATTATATACAAAAAAGATATTATTGTATATTCTTAAAAATCTTTTGGTCTTTGTTGAATTTTTTTTTATCCACAAAAGATATCAATCGACAATCGTGTTAAGTGGCGAGACAGATTAACTAGTTTATCGTTCGACAACGTGTGAAGTACTTAACAAATACATCAATCACCGAATGAAATAACAACTCGGATAATTACAGGAATTTCTGCTATTATTTTCTTTCTACAAGACAATCATCACAGTCGGCATAACCTGAATAGAGAAAGTGAAACGGAAGCAGTATTATTCGCTTTTCTTTATTTCTCACTCTTTCATTATCATGTCTATCAACATTAGCATATCTCAAGACATGTGATCGAAACAAATTTTCCAGGGACAATAGAAGCTATAGTGTAGGTAAAAGTTAAGTATAATAAAGAACAACATAAAGAACAAGTGCAGACGTGAAGAAAATGTAATACATAAATCAACGAGCTCCCGACATTGCACTGATGAGTCAAGTAAGAGCCAATGACTTCTCTTCTCTCGAAAGAGAACGGAAAATACCGAAACACTTACCGGGTGTCGCGCAGCAGCTGCCGCGGCCACAGCTGCCGCATTAATGCCAGCACTAGGATACATCCTCCACCTTCTCCACCTTCTACTTCTTTATATTAAATTACCACCAACTCTTGCTCCGTTCAATATTATCCACTTAATTATTGTGAATATTTTTTCACTCAACTCCCGGATACTTTCTTTTCTACTCTATTATTTCTGTCACACTACCAACTAATCCAAAGAATTATCTCCAAAACCAACAGCACTTTGATTTCGCTTGAAACACCATGACGAATTCACTTTTTATCACACTCAACTCATCACCACTACTCATAAAATCAGCTGAAAACACAACACACTCTTCGCAAAAAAAACCGGTTAAGTTAGAATAGAGTTCTGCGACGTTGTCTTCACAACTGTAGCTCGTGAAAATATGGTATAACAAAACACGAACTCACCTCCACAACGGTCGGGTGTAAACTAATCAAATGGCGGGTCGAGGGGAGCTCCCCCACTCCTTGAAGCACGCTCGAACAACTAGCGACCTCTAAGACCACGTGGTTTCTTGTGGCATCTTTGTCTGACATCGATTCAAATGTCATTCTCCTCGTTCTTCTCATTTATTAAAGTGCAGTGGATTTTTTCCCTCTCTTCTCAGGAAACTCACTCCCCTCAGTTCCTCATCGACTTCTCGTTCACACTCAACAATTCCAAGTAGTAGTGGTATGCAGTTTCCTTCAATCCTTGTGACTATCTTGCACTTACGTGCTTAACACGCTTTTGTTCTCATCTTTCTTGCTTTCTTTTTCTTTCTTTTTTTTCCTTCTCTTTGTACTTGACTTTTTTTTTACGTGTTTTACTTCACTTAGACCTTAGACGTCGTATTTTAGTGCTGTTATAGTTAAGCATTGATATGAGTCGGAAAATACTACAGTTCTTCGTGAAATCGATTCTTTGAAATTTTCAATCCACTCTTTTAACATCACTTCTCTTTTTGGCTCATTTTCTGTTTCGTTTCATGATTAGTTTTTTATTTTCTCCCACCATTTCATGACATTGCAATATAAATGACATTTTTCTTAGAATCGCTTACTTTTTTCTATTACGTCTCATCATACACTTTACTTTCTTCTCGTGTATCTGCAGCCATTTGCTCTTCACTTTCTCACTTTTTTGTATTGTCTTGACAGTTTACGATCTCAACCTTAAAAATTCGAATTTTTCCTCCTCTATAATAAGATCTGTTATCATTCTGTTACTTGTTCAAAAACCACTTGAAATCATACTCCAATCTACCTCAATTGATATCTCATTTTTTTTTCGTAACACAATAAATAATTAATGTTTCTATTCTACTATCATATCTGCTAATAATTAAAGATCAGTTCGATCAATGATAATATATTTTTAATAATAACCGAATGGTACTGAAAAATGCATGTATAAAATGCAATCGAAGGATAATAGTAGCATATCGAGCTAAAGAAAATTGCAACAAAACATTATTATGTATAATCATGGATATATATATAAAATATCGATTTTTAAACAGTCGAGTATATAAAAGCATATTATTGGTTGAAAAGAATTGATGAAGATAACTTGGCATTTAATCATGGCCATATTATTTCCTCAGATAAGCTGAACATTGAGATAATAAATTGACAATGAATAAATGGTTGAAATGATACGTCATCAGTAAAAAATTCAATAAATCGTTAATAAATTATTGACAAAGTATATTATCTATAGTGCACTGTATATTCTAATATATACATATAGATATTGATTATAAATTCATTATCAAATATTGATGTTTCATCATAATGTACATATTTTTTCAAAGTCATTTTCGATACTGAGAGGTGTTGAAGAAAATTAATAATTGTTAATAGCCGAGGTAACACGAAGATATAAAAATTTTGTCGTAATGTTTTAACGCGTGGAAATGCAGTCTAATAATGTTCGTTGAAGCTTGACCGAAGGCGTGAAGGTTTACGGTACGTCGATTGCAGTAATAGCAGTGGTCGTTGGCTAGCCACGGCCCGCGGCAAACGTAACTTTATAGCATTTAATCACGTTCCGTGCGCGTGTGTTGGCAGGCCAATGAAAACATGCGCAAATAGCCACGGATTAGAAATGCGGCCAGCCATAATTGAGCCAGTGAAAAGTCGAGAACTGATTAACTTGACGAGTTTGGAAACATATATGATTGTAGCATATACATGTATACACTTTATACTTTAAGCGATATATATGTGTATACATAGACATGTACAAATCAATTATTTAAAGCTCATTCTAGACTACATCATCAGTATTAATTCATAGTGAATGTATGAATACATTGCATTGGCTTGCATCAATTACTGATTTTGGTATACACCAGAGTATTTGGAGAATTCGAATTAGTTTATCATAGTTATTATTAGAAATTTTCTTGTAACACTTCATTAATTTCAATGTACAGTTGCATTTATTAACTATAGTTGTGTTTATTAATCAAATTACTACAGAGAAAATTATCAAATATTATTTTAACAATAAAAAAAAATTTTCTAAAACTTATGCTTCATGCAGAATTATTATGATACTTTAATTATAAATAATTCTTTAATAGTTTTATTTTTATTTACTCGACTATTTGTACTAAAATACTTCGACAGTTGCAATAAATAAAGATTTAGTATTGAATTGGAAATAAAAAAATAATTCATCATCAACAGCTGAAAAATCATGTAATTGCAAAGTATGTTTCAGTGTTTTCCTATTAAGTTCATTGGATAGTTAATAAATGAATTACTTACACAAAATATATGTTTTCTCGAGTATATATGTATACAGGTGAAATGTTACATTTTAACATACATCAATAGTGAAAAGAGTACTTAATAGAACAGCAGAAAATGTAGTAATCGTATGTTGCCGATTGCAAAATACATTTATTTGTTAATTGCATCATTCTTGCCAAGTGCACAAGTGCAAATTGGCAGGGTCATCAATCGAATTCGTCTCGACATTTACTGACGTACATTTTCAACCCGAATGCTTTTGATCGTTCATTCATATCCTGCCAAATTCAACTAAACTAAAACGAACAACACCCGTTTCTATCTGCCACATCACCGGAAGTCAATATTGCGTGCAATTGTACTTGTTTTACCAAAATAATCTTTCTATACACACATATACATATATATCTACTGCTGTACGAAAATATTTTTCTATATTTATACGACAGTTTTTCCTCTCCATCATATACCAAAACCACTCATCGTCATTTATCAAATTCCATCTGTCATATTGACTGATATTGGTTTGTTATCGTAAAATTTTTAAGTGTTGTTAAACTCTTTTTATTTCAACAGTTGATAAATATATTTTTCATTTAGCATTATTATTGCTATACAATTATTATTTAAAACCTGTAATGTATAAATCGTTATTATTCATATGATATTTATTATCATCTCATTAAACCTCCAATATCTCCAAAGACACTACTAATACGATAATTATTATAATTACCATTATTTCATAAACTTATAAAGGAAATATATTCATCAATTTCAAAAAGTCCATTCGAATTAAATTAAATTTGTTTATGAAATCAGTAGTAATGAGCTTTGTTCATTATATGATTGTTAAAGAATTCTAATAATGAAAAAAAAAAAAAAAATAGTTTTATGTGTATTAATATTTTAGATATTATTCAGATAAAAAAATTATTCATTCAAGCACAAATGTTTTGTAAAAAGGAATTTTTTTATGCAATTATTCTATTTATAAAATAATCTAAACCATAAATTTAATGCATTTAAAAATAGTTTCATTATTTTTGTTGCTATTTCTCATAATTGTAATCAAACACAAGGTTAACGGAAAATGTAAAAAAAAAAAGTAGGGCGTGAAAAAAGAAATTCAACACTCTGTCAATTTTTTGAGAGATTGAAATATGTACCTTCATCTTACCACTGAGCTTGAGGTGTAAAAGAAGCTTTACTCGAGAATTTTTTATAATACAGTACGACGAAGTATAGATGCAGTGTAAGTGCATATAATCCAGTATTTCATGTATATATGCATCAACGACAAAAAGTGCTTGAAAACACATGAAAAGCTTCCTAAGGTTCGTGACTTGTTACACCTAGAGTACATAGACTATTGTAGAACACATGTAAATTTGAATGTTTTATTTATCTTTGTTTGTTCTCTCTAATATGTGATGTTTTGTAATACAAAAGGTTGAATAAAAATTGATAAATAACAAATAATTCCAACTATGTTAAGTTATAAAAACATATCCACTATTGAAATTAAAATTAACATATTAAAAATAAATATTATAAGATAAGCAGAGAGGAAAAAAAGTTATTTTTCAAAAGTGAAATGAACAAAGTTTATACAATGATTGATTCTTAGTTTATAACTACATAGGATCAATGAAGAACATTCTAATAACTCTGATAGACTCCTTGTGATCACCAAATTGACGAGACATGCGGAGTAGAGACTAAGGAAGAAGATAAGGTATAAAAGAGGATGATATATTCGGAGATACAAAAGAAAAGAAGGTCTTGAAACGTTCTTCGCCCTCACTGATTTCCTTCTTCTTAATATGGCCGCGTTCCTTCCTTTTTTCTCGAGTCGTATATTTCCCTTTTCCCTCCTGAAAACATCACGACCTTCTCTCTTCACTCTTCTGCCGTTACATCCCCGCTGGTAACCACCCATAACCGCCCCTGCTTGCCTGAAGGTTCTACTTGATTGCCAAAGCATCTTAACCTCGCTTCAAGTCCGCGCGGACTAGCATTCAACGTCCAAGTCAACCTATAAGAACACCACATGAAAAATAACAGCCAACTCGCTTACACAAAAATATTCCCCACGCCCAGATGGAATAAAGAGGCGGAACGACCAAGAAAAACTCAAATGAAATAACCGCTCATACTAGGGACTACCAATCAGAAAAAAAGACTAAACATTCAAGTGGCAGCTACATGTCAAGTCCGCGCGGACTCGAGACTCGACCTTTTATTATGTTTTATATACGGATATACTGGCGACGTACAACCCCAGAGAGTCAGCGAGTTCGAGTAGAAGACGAACGAAACCTTTGGATAGAAGAGCGATAAAAAAGGACACGTGATAGGAACGTTTCCGTGGCACAGACTTCAAACGGACTAACCGGCATACCACTACCACTGTCTGTAGCACCACTGCAGTTCGAATGACGTCAAAGTGGTGGCAGGAGACACCCCTGATGTCCGGTCAATTAATACTACCGACTACACTGTATGGTTAGAGTTTCCGTTCATTCTCACTCGTGGCGGGACTGCTTTGACTTCACTTTCTTCAGTCCAACTATTGATAACTTTTTTATTAGTATTCTTGGGGTATCTTTAGGTGGATTTAGTTTCTACTTTGATGCTCATTCTCAAGGGTTTTCACGTAGCGATAATTAAAGTACAGATGAATCACTGTGTCATCAGCAACAACTTCAACTGAAGCCAAAAAAATTATTCATTGCTGTTATGAAATATGCTTTTGATGAATTGTTAATGAAGCCAAAGTTTAACATCTTTGAGGATACGTTCTACACATCAGGTGTCAATTATCATTCTTGTAGAAATATGAAAAATCAATCATGAATATTCTTAAAAATTTCAATTATTATTTTGTCGCTAAATGATTATTATAATATTTTATATTAATATGATACTTACTCGTTTGGTAAGTATACTTTTGTTTGTTTGAAAAATATTGAAGAAATATCTAAGAATATTTATCATCATTTTTCGATAACATATGGTGCATACTAAATTGAAGGGCTAATTTTGTGGCAAATATTCGTCATAGATTGTTTATTTTGGCGTTATTGCATACATCATATCAGTCGTAAATTAAACAAATAAACAAATATCAGAAACTTTTCGTAAAAATAATTATGTCAATATTTACTACTAATATTAAATTTAAACGAATATTTTAGTTTAAAAGATATGCTTCTATTGATAATTTACCATCAGTTGAAAAACTCATTTTTATAATCAGTTTTAGTTAAAATATGACGAATAAATATTGCTCAAATAAATAATTAATTATTCATATTTTGTATTTATTGAAATTTACAAAGTAATGCAGAATTATCTTTCTTAACATGTGCAGGAAAATAATGTCGTTTAAAATTGTATTCATTTAAACTCAATTCTATTAATAATTAATATCTAAAATTATAATAGCTTCTGATGGAATGTAGTGTAAAAACATTCCAATTTATCCTTCGTCAGATTGTCGACTATATTTGATTAAAATTTCTTTAACATTATATGTTGATACACTTCATAGCTATTTATTAATTAAATATAAATTAATTCCTACTAGATTAACATAAAAAAATTGTGAATTGTAAAATGTTAAATATTTGACTTGAAGTCTAGATATTACTTAGTACATTTAACTTACATAAATGACATTCATGTGTCGTATTTGTAATGAAGATATAAGTAATTAAGATATATTTATCAATCCATAACCATTATTCGATTACTTCAAGTGTATGTGATTATTTAGGAGACCTACTTGGATTTGCAAAGAACTTGGTGGCATTCGGAAAGCGTAAAGGATCTGGAAAATCAGGAGTTTGGAATCTGCCTGGGACAAGACTCTCTCTAATTGCTAGACCAAAGGCTCTTCTAACAGTTGGTTCTGCAACAAGAGCTGCAATTGCACCATCTACTTCTTCAACTCCAGCACGTTCTACACTTTCCCTTACTAAACGTTCTATTGATGCGGAAATGACCGAATGATTTGGCGTAGGGCTAACGAGCAATGATGGCTTTTTTTGTTCAACTAGTTTACGTCGTTTACTTGGCATCGTTGATAAATACGCGTCACTGAATGTTGTTGAATTACTATCAGCTAAACCCAATTGTAATTGCCGACGTTGTCTTGCTCCATCTCTAGCTATTATTGGTACCCAATCCTGTCATAAAAATAGTTTTCAATAAGTTACATCTTATAAATTCCAATGTAAAATTGGTTCGAAATATTGATTAACTCAACTTACAGGCAATAAATTATTATGGCCAGGGAATGTAGTGGGTACTTCTTCACCATCTAATAATGGATCATTTGTAGGTTGATCATCTGAAGTAGTATCAACCTCCATAGGCTAAAAGTTTTTTGATCATTGAGTATTTTTATTTTTTTTTTATCAACTTTTGTATATATTTAAAAATGTACAAAAAAAATATTTACCTCAATGGCTGATTCAGAAGATCCCATAGAATCGGATGAAGTTGCTGCTGGTTCAGAACTGTCAGTTTCACTGACGAGTAAAGAAGTTATTTCAGATTCAGGAAGTAATCGTACTTTTAGTGAATAGCTGTAAAACCAAATACCAGCTATTTGGATACTCCATTTGCGAAGTGCTGGTCGCCATTTCAGAGCAACGCTTCTCTGAAAAATAAAAATGATTGTAAAGTATGTTACTTTGTTTATATATTACTTTAGAGTAGAAGAAAAATTTATTTACTGCAAATCGAGAAATTATTAATACAAAGTCCTTGAGAACATAACGTATAACCGAAACCAGTTCTGTTCCAAATTCATTCAGAAGCGTCAAACAATTTGTTGATGAAGCTGTAGGCAAAAAAAAATTATTATTAAATAATAATTTAGTATTTTAGAAGGAATATTAAAAAAAACTCTAATTTACTCACATCTTGGAGAGGATGACAAAAATATGACCAGATTTCGAATATGTTTATGAATTAATTTGATTGAAACTTCTTCAATATTTATTACTGTTCCATTACGTTTACATCGTGGGCAAACAAAGGCATTTTTTAAATGTGGTCTGATCACTGAGCAAATATCGTCAGCAATAAGAGTTGCAGTGGAGGGTGTTATTTCTTCATCATAAAGACTTGGTAACATCTGACATAGCTTTATCAAAGCATTGTCTAAAGGTTCAGAATATCCATTCAATATTTCCGTCCAAGTGTGTACTGGTATTTCAAACTAAAATGAATTAAGTATTAAATTTGATTAAAAGTTTTTTAAATTCCATTAACAAATATTTTTTTTTTTTTAATTTAAAAATATTACCAGCACGTCGGCAATCATGTAAAGGAGGTTTAGAGCTCTTGACGTTGTTTTAGAATCAGTAGATTCCATATGAATTCCATGTCGTCTTAGAAGCCAACTTAATGATATAGGATTTTCAGGAGTACTGATTCTATAATTAAATATATTGTATTGTTTATTATTAATATAGTATTTTATGATAAAAAACATAATTGGAAAAATTTAATTTTTACCTGGCAGCAAGAGCAAAACTTTCATTCAAACTAGGTTCAGTAGCAAAAATATACTGTTGTAGCTGATCTCGATTTACACAACGACGACCTTGCTCACTCGCAGTTGTAGCAGTCTGTGATTGAGTAGAGACTTGGGTACTAGTTGATCTATTCGTCTGTCCAGTTTGCGTAGAAGCAGCAGAGCTAGATGGAGATGTTTGGTTCCGGCGAAAATGATAGGAAGTACATACTAAAAGTGGATCAAAGTTTGAAAAGCGCGACGGATTTAAACCAGCTCCACGTGCTTGTCCACGTTGATGGAACATATGTGTCCGAGGAGTTGTACGTGTCTGTGTTGAAGTTGTTGGATGAGTTTCGGTGTTGCCGCGTGTTTGAGAATTTTGACCAGAGTTAGGTGATTCAGCAAATGCAACTGCAACTGTTCGACGGCGAGCAGAACCTTGAGTTATAGGAGTTGGAGTAGATCGCACTGGAATAGGTATTGAAAGTCCATGTTGGGCCATGTAACCAGCTATTATTTGCACGAAGTTTCGAATTGTATCTGGTGATTGTCCACTTGCCCACGATTGATTGTCACCAAATTCACGGTTCGTATTAGTATTGGTACTGGAATTACTGTTGGTATTGTTATTATTACTGCCGTTTTCATTATTGTTATTGTTGGTGGAGTTATTCGTATTATTACTGTTGGAAGGACGATTTTGACTGTTTGTTGCGAAATCCCAAGCTCGGCCAAATTGGGAACCCATTTCCATTACAACTTCTACATTATTTGAAATATTAAAAAGTGTCCCAAGTGGAGAATTTGATTGATGCTGTTGTTGGGAATTAGTAGAATTAGTATTTTGTTGATCAGAAGCAGATTGTGGCTGTGATGATGTTGATGACGTAGTTCTTGAAGTACTTGTCTCAGCATTCGTAGAAGTTGGTGTTTCTGTAGATTGTGTGTCAGTTCTTGTTGCACTATTGTTATCATCAAAGTTGGGATTGTCATTCTGGCCATGTAAACTGATATGCGCTTCTACTTGAATAGGAACGCCAGCTTGCAACATAGGTGGAGAATTAATACTCATAGGTCGACAACGTAATAATCTTGGGGATTGTCGCATATCAATAGTTAAATTACTCAAAGCATGTTGAGCATGTGACAAACAGTGTAAACATTCTGTAACACGATCAAAAACTTGTTGATTTTCTCTTGCAAGAGCAGCATCTTCTACCAATTCTGGTAAATTTCGAGTTGCAAGAAGTCGATCTCTAATATAAGGATTTAATCGCTCTTGAGTGGTTAATAGTTTTTCCAACAGTTCTGCTAATACGCGTGGAATAAGAGCATCAGTACTTTCAGTCTGATCATTCAATTCTTCATTAAAAGCGGTTGACTGTTGTGAAGTTTCTTGTGGCGGTTGTTGTTGTGGCTGTTGCGGTTGTTGATCTGTTTGGCTAGATTGAGCTGCGTTCATAGATACAAGAATTGGTTCAAGTGTACCATCATTATGAACTCTAGCAAGAGCAATGTTAACTCCAGATACTGGAAGTTCACTTCTTTCTCCATCTGTTTCAACATCAGATGTTTCTCGTGGTGTTTCATCAGATTGTGATATGTTTTCCAAATTAGCTTCAGGAGCACTTGGAGTATTATCTAAACGATCAATGATTGAATTAGCTTGGTTTAACATTTGACGAATTACAGTAATATGACGACGAACTCCATTGTTGGGTGTATTGGGTCGTACAAGCCACTCTAAAGAAAGTGTGAAAAAAATAAAATATTAATGCATCATCTAGAAAATATTGATAAGAAGTGAAACAAATCTTTATTGAGAAACTTACCACGGCCTTCTAAAACGTCGCTGGGGATTGAAACTGAGCTTACATACATCGGATTTCCATGAAATTGTCGATAGTGAATTCGTGGAAGTTGTGACCAGCCTCCTCCTTCTCCCCCTGAAGCCTGACTTTGTCCCTGGCTCTGACTAGCATTGCTACTCCTTTGAGTGACTGAAGGTGGGGCTCTCTGTACCAAGTGTATGACTTTGCCATTTACATCTGCAAAAATATATATTTGCTTTTTAACTTTAATTTAATTTATAATGACAAAACAAAATAACATCTAATGAAATATTAAAAAATATATTAACCATATTCATTTAAAAGTTTTTCATCTTGAAGAACTCTACCACAATAAATAAGTCGTTGTGTACTAGCAGGAATGTTTATGGTTTCTGCAATTCGATCTTTGAACTGTTTGACGGTAATCTACAATTAGGAAAACATATATTGATTAATAAATATTTTTGTGTTTTAATATGATATGCAAAAATATAATGATTAATATTTAAAAAATAATTACGTCGTCATTTAATGAAAAAGCGTGGTTTTGTGAATCCAAGGTCTTCACCGTGAGATCGATCATGTTGCCTTTTTGATGGATTCAATGCTCACTAAAACTTCGTAAAATGATGCAATGTAATGGAGCACCGGATAATAAGAATACAAACAATAATACAACGGCAATATTATGAGAATAAATAATTACATTCAAAGTTGTAGATTATCGAAAGACAAATATAAATTAATGATTATTAGAAATACAAGTCCACAAAAAAGTACGACACTCACAATTTTACCCAGAATTCATTTTATGTCTTCACGGCTAATGGCGTTATTCATGATTGCCAAGAGTTACCAATAGTGATATTGTGAATGTTACTAGATTTCACTAGAACCGTTTTTTAGAAGAATTCTCAGAGACATCTGTCATAAAGTTGCGATATCTTATAACAATTGATTTCACTCTGAAGGTCAAGGAGAAAACTTCTATGGGATTGAGGGCATTTTTCAAAATTAAAGGGTTATTTAAATGATTTTATAAACATATTTAAGCACAATATTGTATTAATAATAAGATTTATAAACTAACAATATATTTATTACATAAATGATCAGATATCTTTTAACTCGTACATATTCGAAATCTAATTGTTTATTAAATGCGTAGTTGTGATTAAATGTTCCTATTATATCCATAAATTCGATAAAATAATTTAGATATGATATAATTATTGCTCTATATATCTTAATTTACACCTTAAAATTTAATTATATTTAAATAGATCAGAAATTTTCAGTATTATTTTTAATTTTTAATATTTCTTGGAAATAACTAAAATTTTAAACGAGTCATTGTGTTTAATACATCGAAAATTTTTTTTCACTAATCATTAATTTTTTATTGCAATTCATTTTACTCCTGAAGAGGTTTTAGTAAAAATTCAATGGTGGTCAAATTTAGCGAATTTCCTGAATATTTGCAACAACCCTCAAGATAATGAACGTCATTAAAACACTCACTACTGAAAAAAAAGAATAGAAATTTATTTTCCACAATTGAAAAAATGAATTTAAAAATTAAAGATAGATATAAAAAATTTCATTTACCTGCATAAATGTAAAATGTCGACATGATATACATTAGCACAATTTACACAAATATTATAAAACTCTTGAATTAATTTTTCATCAAAATTACCTCTACAACCAATTTCGTTAAATATTTCTATTGGTGATTTTTTATTAGCAACAGTAATTGGATTTGCAAATAAAATGGAAATATGCATAATAAAAAATATTACAATATAACGGTACATCATTTTTGTTAGTATTATTATTGATTTTCTAAAGTAATTTTCGAGCTGAAAAAAACATATAGTTACTAAATAATACAAAAGTGATATTTATTTAAATAAAAAATTACCTTTTTATAAATTATTTCTTCTTTTAGTTGATAATATAATTCTGTATTCGTAACTTGTCTTGAATATTGTGTTGACTTGAAAAAGTGGAATACTTGTATTTATACATTTTTTTACTGTAAACATAAAATAACCTACACTAATGTGTTTGCAAAGATAAATTTTATAGTTTTAGAGCTAAGATTAACGAACGATTATTAAGTGATATAAGTAACACGAAACAAAAAAACTTTGAGTACACATACTATTAAAATAATTCCTAATTATTCACAAAAAAATTGTATTAATAAAAGATGATATAAAAAAAAGGTCAACAACTACTGTTGAAAATAACAATTCAAGCAAAAAATTAACAATAATACTTGCATTTTCTTTTTCGAGTAGTTTTTTTTTATACCGTAAGTCATGGCTATATTTTAGTCAATTGTAGCAAAATTTCTTTTATGTATTTACACATAGATAAGTATTTAGATGATAAAAATATAATATTTCATGCAAAATACAAACATTGTATGTAATTAAAAAAAAATTTCAAAGGAAAAGATATTTATAAGATACTCATTTTTATTGGAGCAGTTAGTAAACTTAACTATGAAAACAATGAAATCACAATTCTCCTTTAGTTCCATAAAGTTGTTTTATCATATTTTTATAGGCAACAATTTCTGATTTGGAATCCATTTTTAAAGTTTGCAAACATGATACAAAATGATCTGATATAAAACAATTTTGTCTGGAAAAAACAATTAAGATAATTACTTTCATAGAAATATTTGTAGAAATATAGATATACTGATTTGTAATTAAATAGAAATACTGAAATGTTACCTGCAAATATTATAGACCACAGTTTCACGGAATAAATTGTGGCAATCCTCACATACTTGATTTAATGTTGTAAATAAATTTCGCTTATAAGTACCATTGCATCCAATCTCTTTGAAAGCAGATTCTGATACAGGATCCTCCTCAACTAAACCAAAGCAAGAAATAATCGAAATATATATCACAATGAAGCTCGTGAATGTGAAAAGCTTTATTGTATTTTTAATGGCCAAGTTAATCATGGTGTTTCTCTGTAAATAACTGCAATAAAAAAAAAAAGAATAAAAATTAACAATTTCTCTGGTTTTTTAATAAAAATATTTATTATTACTTTAAACTTGATTCTAATTTTACCTTTGTAATGTCCTAAAAATGTTTTCAAGTTCTTGAAGATAAACATGAATTTTATACACTACACTGCAGTTCAGTAATGGGAAACTGGACCTGAACTCCAGTGCAACACGACTCAAATGTAAGAAACCAGTGGTGCCTCACTTCTTTCTTAACTCCAGACGTAAACCCGCGTCCTGACATCCTGTGTCAAATATGCTGTTTCAAGTTTCTCTCTCAACATTACACTCGTGCATACATATATATACTAGTATACATGCAGGCATCCAGTATTTATATATATATATATATATAAAAATATATGTATATATATACACATATATTTAAACGCCCCACAGTTGAGATATAGTGGGTCCCTACCGTGATTAAAATCTCAAAGGAGACATAAAATTGGGGCTTAAGCACAATCTGGCACGCACATTGCTACTTAGTTGTTCATCCATGATTTTTTGGAGATAGTTTAGGTGCAGACGAAAAAAATAGATACCCTCTCATGCTGGAGCTTAAGTAGGTTCGATAATAATGAGTAGCGAGGATAAGATAGATAAAGAATATAGCCACGCTGACAAAAAAGATTAAAGGAAAAATTAACATGACAAAAGATAAAATTTTTTCTTAAGTGTTCGACAGATGAAATGTGATAATTTGAAGGCAAAAAAAAACTCTAGACTAGCCCTTTTCATTTCTCAACTCATAACATGTGTATTTTTGTAAGGAATTTTAACGATCAGCTTTTATAGAGATCGATGATTAATTTTGGATATCAAAAATAGAAATTATATAAATCAGAAAACTAAAGAGTAAAAATACATTTTTGTAATCATTAAAATATTTCGCATTATTAGGTATCTGAGTCATTCAGAGGATTGTCATTTTTTATTATTAAGAACGGAATTTTTGTCATGCTTATTTTTCGTTTGACATTTATATATATATTTACAAGTTTATTATGAAAATAAATGTTTGGCTATTTTTATTTTGTGATATATTTATTATGAATCATCATGAAAATTCAAATATTTTTGGAATCTACTCATCAAGAATTTGATATAAATTTAGATTAATAGATCCTATGCTCAAATTTGGGCAATTTCCCTGCAACATTCATAGAATATATTCTTTCTTTTTAAATGCCACATTTAGAGCATTGAACTGTTGATGCATCCACAGTTTTTTAATTACACTTTTATCATTATTACTTCAATAAAAATTTTAAATCTAGGAAATATATTTGTTTTTAATTCTTCAGAATTTAATCTTATATTTATCTTCCATAATCTTTATAAAAATCAACGTAAGACTTTTATTCTACGTTCATCTTTTTAACTATTTTATTACTAATTTATCATCATAATTATTTTATTAAAAAATTATTGCAAAATGATAAAAGGTTAATTATTGATAATAATTTAAATTAAGAATTGTACAAGTGTTCACAAATATTCGAGTTATTATCAAAACAATGTACACAGTGAAACTTGGAACATTTGTATGTGTTTAGTTGAATAAATATTTATCTTCTTTTAATTTAAACCGAAAAAATTGAATAACAACTTAAAATTAAACGAGTTTGAGTTTCATTGTTACAATGTACATCATTCGATTAGTTTTATTGTGTCGTTAATGTAATATCAATAATTATCTACGTAAATGAAATTACTTGCGTCATGACCATTCATTCTAAGTTCGTACTCTTTGTTTAACCATGTAATTTGAAAAGATAAAAAGTTAAAAATATACTTTGATAGATATATTAAGCATCATTTGTTTTTCGATACTTGTAGACTCTTTTGATAGCAGTTGGAAATTCTCCTAGAACAGAAAATTTTTCATCCATTAATTTTGAACTTAAATATTTATTAATCAATATTTAAATAAGTATTTTTAATTAGACTAATAAAATCAATGATGAACTTGAAAATAAATTACCGTTCAAAGAATAATGAACTTTAAATATTCGTTATGTATTTATAAATGTAAGTAATTTCGTAAAGGGTTTAGAAATTTTTCTTGATGGAAATAAGTAATTTATTGATGATATTAATGACGTCTGAAGTATATGAAGTATATATGAAGAATGAGGATCGCTGATAAAAAGAAGACAAGACAAAAATGAATGTTGTAGACCAGAGAGTTGGGGCCAGCAGCAAGGCGCTAGGGATAAGAAGCATGTCGAATAAGTATAAAGGAAAAAGCTGCAGAGAAATCGCAGGAGAAAGAGAAAGAAGAAAACCGGGAGGGCTGGGCACATCTCATAATGATGTAGCTGTCTCGATTTGTATACGTCTCGTTTTTCTCACATAGCCCGACTGTCCGGCTCCTGCGTCCTCATCATCGATTCTTGCCACTTACATTTATATGATGATCTTGAGAAGAGTATGGTGAGAAGTAGAAGTAAAGGACGCAAAGAAGTGAAGAGAGACAATTCTCATATCATCTCTGCAGGAGAAGTGTAATGGATTAGTCTTTTTAATCTCATCACCCAACTGCCACTGGCGTTCTTTTGAGTAGTGAGGGTGGGCACGCGTGTCGCGATGGCCGTATGCTACTTCACGTTCGTTATGCGCGATCATCCATGAGGCGCCCGATTCCTCGTGTGCGTTGGCGCCAGGCTGCATTCTCGCATTTGTTTTTCAAGCTACCGACACGCAATACTCTCTTTTCTCTTTTTCTCTCGTTGATGCGCAATTTCTTCACCAAGTGATGAGTTTATGTTTATCACTTCTGTATTACTTCCGTTACAAATTTCACATTTTTTTATATTATTAATTGACTAATTTATACATCTCTTTTTACATTACTTACTTCATTATTATTCAGGTAATTTCATTGACCTTAATTTTCGAATCAAGCTTATATATCAAGGCTCAACTCATTCTCATATTTCGTTCATTTACTCCTGTCTACTCCGAAATTACTACTTTTTTTTCATATTTATTTTTATTTTATTATTTTATAATTTTTTTTAAAAATATTAATTAATATCACAATAGATTTTTTTTAATATTTATGAAATAATTCTTTTTTTTAAACTTCCTTTGTTAAAATTTTTTCGTATATGTATACAATGGTGAGGAATTTTTTTTTACAAAAACAATTTTTGTTATTTACTAAAAATGATGATGGATTAATATATATCTTCCTCGTTGAGGTGGACGAACCGTTGAGCGACCCTGGAATGCAGCATCGACTTGTCGAAAGGAACGCAACACTCCACGGCATGTGCATCGGATGGTTCTTTTTATTTTTAACATTTTTTTAATTTTATTTTTTTCCATTTCATGTTTGTTTTTGTTTTGACGCATCATACGTGTCATTCCATGCGAACTTGACCATTCAGTTCAATGTGTAATGAATAAAAAATATTGTCAAAAATCCAAGGAAGCATTTAAAATGTGCAGTTGTTGAGAATAATTTTAAGACATTTTTAGGATATTTTATCGACATTAACATCCCTAGGAAACGAAGAGTTACAATGTAGACATATAAACACATTCCTACGGAAGAATTCTCGTAAATACAAATTAACTAAAATAAATAAAAAAGTCAATGTAAGAAATTTGTGGTGTGGACATTTTATTTCACGGCGTAATTTTGAGGTAGACGACACGACGAGCGTCCCTGGAATGCCGCTTGGACGCCTCGGTGACGCCGCCGTGATCTCGCATCTCGCAGATCTTGAACGACCGACTCATCAAACGGACGGACGTGTAAACGTTATTAGAAGCAAGATAGGTCAACGGCTTTTTTCTCTTTTTTTTTCTTTATTATTTTCCTTTGTATGATACTAGTTAAGTAAAACAAGCTCCGACAATTCCATCAACCAGGTTACGATTAACCTGATTAAATTGAGGAAACCCTTCTAACGATTGGCCGACTTACGACACTTCAAATCAAGTATTATTATTTAATCCATTGTTAAGTGATAACAAAATGGATAAATTTATTCCCAATACCCAATAATAAATACTAAACATGTTAATGAATTAATGATAAGCATGTTTTTCTTTGCCTATCATTCGATTAAATTAATAAATCAATTTATTAACAGCTATTTCTTGAATAAATGAATTTAATCATGAATTTTTGAAGAAACTTTTCACGTATCGAGTTATTTAAGAATTGGTATTCCATTTGATTAAAATATGAATACGTTTGGTGTATCTGATTTGATAAAAAAATAAATGATCATAACTCCTATCCCTACGTCGCTGGAGCTGGGGCTGACGTTGGACTATAAAATCTCGCGCGAGTCAGAGGCACTTAATGTAGTCGCAATTGAGGCGCCAAGAGGAAGTACATAACGAAGACGGTCTATTGCCGGGTATAACTCAATTTTCCCTAAAAGCTTGAAATAATCTGTCGAGGGACAATTGTCTAGAGTTGATCCTGGTCTTAACGATAAATCCCTCCGGAGAATTGTTTCAAACAAATATTGTATTGTAGGATCGATAAATAAAGTAAGAAAAGTCTTAAAAGAAGAAATCCACAGTGACATGTTAAAGTATTGAGTGTAATAGATTGTGAATAGGTATTAGCCGATTAACGTATACAAGAAGTAAAAGATTAAAAGTGACAGTTGACGTTAAACCGTATTTGAAAAATCCCTATAAGCAGAGTGTGACGGCGGGAATCCCGGGCGAAGGGAGGGTAGAAGTAAGAAGCTCTTTGCTTGGCTATAAGTCGGTGGCAAGAGAGGTCGGGAGGAGAGAGAGAACTCCACAGCAGGGGGCGGCAGTGATTGATTGCCACGGGGGTGGGGGTTACGAAGGACGTCCGTCGGTTGGTTGTGGGGAGTGCGCGCATAGTCTGTCCCGGATCATTGCGAGTGGGGTATTTGGACGGTGATTAGAAGAGTCGGCGCGTCCCGTCGCTGGTCAATCGCAATGTCGGGAATACTCTACACACTGCTCGGTCTCGCGGCGAGCGCGAGTTTTCACTGTGCGGTCAGGCGCGAGATTAGCCCGTGCACCTGTAGACAAGAAAAATATTCCCCTCCTGCGAGTATCGTCAGTCCTGTTTCTGAAACACCAACAATTGTTCCTTCAGTAATTGGTGTTTCTAGTGTTCCTAGTACCGGGGAGTTGGGTGGTAGTGGTGTTGGTATTGGTGGTGGTAGTGGTGATACTAGTGTCAGCTTTAGCAATCCCCAGAAGCATGGAGAAAAAATATCGGTCATGTGCGAGAAAATGGAGTCATTTGGAGAAGTTGTTAATGCTCTCAAGGAAAAATTTAACCCCGGTCAACATATTACTCTCAGAATATCACACTCACAGCTCAGGGATATTTCTAAACATCATTTTAAGGAGCTGAAGATGTCTATTGTGAAGCTTGAACTCAATCATGACCACCTGAGGTAAGTTTAACGATCGTTTGTTTTCATTTTGTATTTAATGCTCTTTTTCACTAACTTATCAACTATTACTGCTGTCTCTGTCATTAATGTGTCATTACAAACACGTTCTGCTGATAGATTTATTAATCATTCATAAATTATCGTTCAATAAACGCTGCGCAAAGTTTACGTTTTATTTTAAAAACAAGGGTTTGGTCGTCACTTTCCTCATTTTTCATATTTTCGTCTTTATTTATTTTTTATTACGACTCGGGTCAACAATTCGCTGGATAATTATGTCAATTATGTCTACGTACTGTTTTAGAAAAATTGTAAATAAAGTTATATAAGATGGAATGGAATATAAAGATTAAATATGTGCCGGCTCTGCGCCTGTCATGAGTCTGACCAAACAACGCTTTGACTACTTATTACCACGTAGTCAGATAATTTTTTTTCCGACAGTAAATTCGGTAAATACTACTTTATTCAATGAAATGCATAAATACGATAAAATTTCATAGTTCTTATGACCATAAGATTGATCGATATTTCCAGAGAGAATCGAAATTTTTAAAGATAAATCAATGTATCAGAAATATCAAATCAATTTTGACAGGAACATATTTCTTTCTTCTTTTCAAACAATTTTGAAAAGAGATCAAAAAAATGATAGAATAAAAAATTTTCTTTTTGTTATATACCAAAAGTAGAGATGAGTTTTAAATACTAAAAAGTACCTGGTTGAGAGAAATTACGTTAAACTAAAGAGCAGTGAGCTTGGCTGTTTATCAATAAGTTTATAATAAATATAAAGATAATTCTCAATCGTGGCTGACCTCTACAACAGGGCGATGTGAAGTATTCTATCGTCTTACGTTGTGTATATAGTATGTTTATCAGAGTCAGAGTAATTAAATAATAAGCCACAACGAACTAGTATTAAGTGAATAATGATACGATAATTACATTCAAACTTTTTTTTCCTCAATTGAATTCTCGTGATAATTTTAATTTCAATTAAAATATTCCATAAATTTAATGATTTCTCACAAGGAAAATTGAAAATAATATTTTTATTTCGTAATTATTATTCATTGATATAATGAAGATATTTCTTTCACTATAAAAAAAAATGAGATACAAGTGAGGAATAGGTAGATCTTATAAAACCTATTACAATCAACATCTGCGTCCGGTTTTATCGCGTTAGATGAATTGAAAAAATTATCAAGTCACGTGCTTTTTTTCAGATCGTGAAAGGTCGTGTCTATATTTCACATTTTTCAGATAATGTTATCATTGCAAGCTACGCATTAATCAATCTAAATTTTTATTATTTTTTTCCAACATATTTACTAATAAACACTTGAACTATTGTTTTCTTTTTCAATTACTCTAATTACGATGGCAATTTAGTTATAAAAAAAAACGTCATGACAATGATTAATTAATCAACAATTTAATGATCAATTAACAATTAATTCTATTGAATAAAAAAATATATATATTCTTATGTGCATATTTAACTTTTTATTTCAGTAATGTCGACGGTGAAGTGTTTGCAGGTTTGGGTAGAACATTATATCTGAATTTGGCAGACAATGAAATACCATTGATACCAAGGCATATTTTATCTCATTTGCCTCTCGTTCGAACTTTGGAGCTCAGTAGAAATCGAATAACACGAATCGATGTCAACGATTTTAAGGTATCTAATCATTTGAAAATCTCTTTTTCTTTCTAATGTTTATTCATTCCTTTATGTGCTTTTGTGTTGAGCATTTCTCCAAGCTATTTTGGGTCAAACTCATTATTTGTTTCATACTCCAATATAGACTTTGATCATTGAATGAATGCTGACCAAATGAGATTTGATGTTTACTCTGCAGTAGACATCAGTTCGTAGAACTTTAATTATAATTAATTGAATCAATTAATTTACTCTTATGGCATTATTATTCATTCAATAATATTCAGATTTAAATGTGTGCTATTTTTAAACTTCGTAAAATACAGAGAGTACGAAGAGTAAATAGAAAAATTATCCACTTATTAGCTGTTGTCATGTAAAAGTATTATTTTCTTGTAAATCATAGATTTTATATATTTTTTGTTATGAATGGGGTAAAATCATGTGTTAATTATCTCCGTGATGCGTCATCGATTGGATAAAGATTGAATACTGTGTATGTTACATCAATATTTCTCCCTGTCTTTGTCTTCTGATAATAGCAGTAAAGAAGAAAATAAATAACATTACACTTTTCATTGATTGCTTCTGAGAGTCACGACAAGAAGCTGAACGAGCTCTCTAATGAATGTCGTTGTTTATGCTATTTTATGAAATTAACACGTGACCTACCACGCGTAACCCATGTGCTCAATTATAATACAAGTACCGAGTATTTTCTTATACTCATATTATCACACTCAATTTCTCATCTAAAAGTCATTGAATCCTAATCAGATAATTCATTATTTATTATATCACACTTATGCTCATTTTTTTCCAGCAAAAATAAACTTCTTCTTTTAAACATTTCTAACTATTTAATTTATTTAAAAATATGTTTTATGCATTTAATTGTAGTATAATCCATCTCTGCAACATTTATTGTTGGCCGGAAATTCAATATCTGAAATGGTACCAGGATCTTTACCACCACAATTAAATAAACTCCACGTGGGCAGGAATCACCTGCATACTCTGAACCGTACTCTATGGTATGTTAAATAATTAAATATAATAATCACTGGAAATAAATGTATTATAATTAAAAAATCATACTATAACAATTTTCGATTATAAAAGTCATTGACAGACCTATTTTTACGTACACGTGTCATTAAACATTCAATTGCGAAAAAAGGAGTTATCCAAAGACTCTTATAATTTAAATAATCGAATTAAATTCAGTTTATTAATTTATTACATAAAATTAAAATAATTTCTACTCGAAGATACTTTTGGAATTTTAATAAAATGTCAATTATTATTTCTGTGAATGATATTAGTTATATGAGTGATTCATTCAAGTGTGTAATTTTTCTAAGAATGCTTACACATGGAAAACCCAAAGATTCACACTTTCGAAATTTATATAATTCATAATCATTTTTGATTACTATTGATAAGTATTAATTAATTATTTGACTATCATTTTTATAAACTTTTAGTGATTTAAATCAGCTCGAGTGGTTATTTATAAATTCAAATGAATTAACGTCCTTGGATGGTGAATTACCAACTTCTGGCCACAACCTCCGGATGCTTCATGCTATGGACAATAAATTGACGCATTTACCACCAGAATTCCGACAACTTCATAGACTAGAAATGTTGTTCCTTCAACATAATAAAATACGTAGTCTTGATGGCACTTTACAAAAAGCTGGAAATCTTCAATATCTTGAGCTGTCTTATAATGAATTGCAAATAGTATGTTTTCTTTAAGTCAATTATTTGCATTAGATGATTAATCGTTCAGATATTTATAATGCAAATTATCTAATCAATTATTAATCCATAAATTAAATTTTATCAGTTGACCGAAGAAGACTTTATTGAAGCAGGATTATTAGAAGATCTTGAACTTGGTCATAATTCACTGAAGTCATTGGGTGGTGGTACAAGTGGAGGTGATGGAAATGGCAGTAAGAGTGCACTCTGGCCATTAAAATCTCTTAAATGCCTCAATTTAACTCACAACCAATTGAGTGAATTTTCCTTCGCTACTCTACGAGGACTCAAGGAACTTCGGCTTATCGATCTTTCTCACAATCGAATTCGACGTCTTTATCGAGGTCATATTGAGGTTTGTATTCTAATATGTTCTTACCATATTTAGTTATCTAAAAAAAAAAATCCATTGGAATTAATTTAATATTTTCTTCAGAATCTTGTTGATAAGGATGCTGAAGAAAAGCCTGGGGCAAGCATCCAAGAGTTACGTTTGCAACATAATGAATTGCAAACTCTAGAAGATTCGTTATTTGAAGGAATGCGTGAACTTCAAAGACTAAATTTAAGCCACAATTCATTAGGACCGACGATTGGATCTCACGATTTTTGTGAACTCGGAAATTTACGAAGTCTTGACTTATCTCATAATAAACTCACATCACTTGAAGAAATTTCTGAAGTAAGAATCATTTTTTTGATAATAAATTTTGAAATAAATATTGAATTATCATGAATTAATGGAATAATTTATATTTAAATTATCAGGCAAAATTACCCGCTCTTGAGGAATTGTTTGCATCGCACAATCGACTTGTGACTTTATCAGATCGTGATTTCCGAGGATTTCCAAATCTTTGTTCAGTAGATTTGAGCATGAATGAGATTCGTTCTCTCACTTATGAAATTGTAGCCAACACTCGATGTATGGTTCATGGAGTCCCTGATGTGCTTCGAATTTACTTACAAGGTAAAAATAACTTCAGATTTACATAAAAACTGGGTATCAAAAAAAGAGATAAGATAGAGATATTTTTAAAAAATCAATAAAACTACAGATTTAGAAATTGGTAAATATAATGTAGAAAATAGATAGTGTCATCTGAAGTGAAGTATATGATAGTAAATGAGGGTAATATATTATTATTCTTTGATAAAATTCTTATTTTCATATCAAATAACTGTTTGTCCCTCAGAATACATATAATATTATTTCATCCGAGAGATAGATAATATAATCTTGGCGCCGTCGATTCATTAATTTCTCTGACTAAATGTTTTTTATTTTGTTGTGACTATATCAGTTTATCGTAACAGTTTTCAGCCACTATTAATTTGTCCATTCAATTCAATGTTTTGAATACTTGGACAAATATTCATTCCTTTCATAATTGAATTATTTTTTAATTAATTTAATTTTTTAATAATTATTCATTGTTATCAATCGTAGTTTGATTATTAAATGGATTTAATTAATTGATTGAGAAATAAATTATTTACAGACAATCCTGTCATGTGTGACGCTGGTCTACTGGATCTTACAGTTGCAATGGAAGTCAATCATGCAAAGATTTACGGAGTTGCAAACAATTGTCCTACAACGATGCAAACACCTACTGAAACAACTCCAGCTTTGGCTGCTTAATTATCTGATATTTTTCCCACCAATAGCCTTGGCCTTGGTTGTTGCTAATATTTTTTTTCGCTGCGGCCCGAATGAAAGTCAACAGAATTAGATAAGTAAGCAAGGGCAGCATGGTAAAAATATGATAGAAGAAGAAGGAATAAATATCAACAAGAAGTGACATTTTTCCTTTTCATGATTGCATTAGCCACTGTTGTTGTCGTCAGTGTAGTGACTTGACAATTTGCAAAGGCTAAAAAATATATCATATTAAGTATCTTCAGGATACTGAGCTTTTTTTAATATTGATTGATTTAATTTTTTTATGTTTTGTAAAGAGAAAAAAATCATTCTGATTGCAATGAAATTTTTATATGAGGCAGCAAGAACTGGTTAAATTGATGAATATAATACTATGGCAAAGCAGATTAGCTACTAATCTTGAAAAGAAATATATGACCTGTTAGATTATTAATTGATAATAATTAAAAAAATTTATTATTATTTTATTAATATTATTTTTATTATTATTGATATTATTATTTTTATTATTGTTATTAATTATTGTCATCATTTAGTTGTAGGCATTGTATGCATTGTAAATATTTCCATTATCTTTCTTTTTCGATACATAAATATTTCGATTAAAATTTTTGATCTATCATTGACTTCACTATTTTAGAAATTAGATTTACCCACCCAGTATAATAATTTTGCGAAAATTATGGATAAATTATCTACAAAATATTATGTACTAAGTGTTTTTCGCAATTTAAAGGAGAATGTAATCTTCATAGAATAAATAATACCTTTTCATCACGTTATTCATAATAAAAAATGAGTGATGATGAAACCAAAATAAATAATTATTATTAGATTGTCGCAAGAGTCTTTGCAAATTTGTATAATATTTGGAATTAATCGTAATGAATTTTTTGCAACCATTTATTGTTACCATTGACAAAATTTTTTAAATAAATATTAATATTAAATTGTAAAGACTTTTGAAGTAATTTAATATTAAATATTAATATATAAAAAATCTATATCGATTGTCGCTCCAGTCTCACAGGTTGGCTTATAGTTGAATCATAAAGTTTTCAATAGGCTTATATTAGGGCGAAGTTTGCTAGAGGTCAATAAAGCAAATAAAATTTGTTAAATTGTTCTCTTGGCTTTCACGAATGACTAATTGACAGTGGGCGACGGCTTGACCTTTCATTGACTCTTGTCAATAGACAATTATTGTTATCGGCTCATCCATTGAATACATGATATTTCAGCCATTTTTATGCTGCCGAAAAATTACAAAAATAATTAAGGGATAGTTTGATATTTTTTTTAGCAAATTAATAGTCAGTTAATCATTCAATGTTTAAGAAAAATTTCTCTTATTTCTGGGAGCAAAAAAGGATGTGGTCGAAGAATGAATAATAATAATAAGAAACTAGCTTCGATAGCTAGGATTCAAAGAAAAATACATGAAACTGTTGAGTATTGTAAGCAAATAGGCATTTCATATGTAGTAAGAAATTCGGATTGTACATATATGCATACATTAATAAATTTATAATTGTCCAAAAAAATATTTATATCCGTGTATGCGTATATGAACATAGAGATTAATTGTGAGAGATCTGTATGTAAACAGTAGCTTTTAAGTCACTTATCAACGCTGTGATTTACAGTTTTTAATTTCTAATTTGGTCATTTTTATCACACGTGTGATAAATGGAAACAATTTTAAAAAATGTCCCTAAACACGATTACGAACACTTATATACACATCTCTGGTAATACGAAAGTTTATTGCAGAAACGTTATATTTTAATAAAAGTGTCATGTTTAGTCATTAATTAAGTTGAATATATATTTAATAAATCGACTGTCCGCAAACAACCACAAATATCCAAACTCTCATCAATAAAAATATTACTCTTCTAAATACAATTCTATCAATTAATTTCGTGTTTTATAAATAATAGCTACTTACTTGTGGTTTTATTTATTACAGTAGTAGTATTTCAATAATGTTTTTCTAATTGCAGGTACAAATTTCCGTATGTCGTGAAGATCGTAGATTTTTGAAAAATCTAATTTTAATTCTTTCAAATGTTCATCTCGAAGTGTAGGCTCAACGTGTTGAACTAAAAATATAAATAATAATTTTCACAGTTACTGAAAAGGTTCACAAAATAATACATTAATAGAAACATGAATGACTTACCTTTCCATGTAGAGTTTCGATAATTATTAAATATTACATAAAAATTATTTCTATCCTGATTATCTCTAAAAAAATATGCAACAGTTATTTGGTCATAACTATCCATTTCTTTATAGCTTATATGTATATTTAAATTGTCTTTGAATGCTGCCATTGCTTTTTTCAAAGCATTCCATTCTATCCGTTTTTCTTTTGTTTGTTTTTCTCGTGCTGAAAATGATATAATTGATGTTTTAAAAAATTCTAAGTTCCATTCTTCATATTTGATATTTGCACTGTGATATGCACTACGAAGATAGTATAATAGATTAGGGTGTTGGTAATAAATACCTTGTTCCAAGTCAACTTTTTCGAGCATGAGCTCTTCTCTTTTACGTTTTTCAGCTTTAATATCATCTTTTAATTTCTCTTCTACCTTTTCTGAATTTGATATTTTTTTACTCGATACTTTTTGAAATACTAACACTTCATCTATTTGTTTTTCAATTTCTTTAGAGTGATTTTGGAGTTGACTTATTACATCAATATTTTCCCTCCGTTGATTCCTAGATTCTTTACATAAATAACATATTTATTAAAGTCATTGTTAATTCAATGGTATTGTTTAAATAAAAACATATTGTGTAATTACTTTCTAATATTCGTTGAAAATCATCTATAGAAGATTTTAATTTTGATCTAGATTCGACCATAAATGTGGATAACCTCTGAAGTAAAGCCTCTTCATTTTCGATACTTTGAATAATACTCTCAAAATCGTTGACTAACAAGTTATCTATCATTGTTTTTTTATATACAAAAGTATTTTTTCTGAATAACTGTTGATTAACTCACTTCGGATGATAACAATTTCTCGATAAAAAGATTTTATTCATCAAGTTGTTTGTTTATAAAACAAAAAATCGCGGTTTCAAACAAAATCCGTTAAAATGATTGACTTTATTGTTTACGATCTGAGGTTGGTACTCATGACTAATAGAAGTATAGTGTAATACTTCTATGAAAGTATAGTTTAGCAGCTCATTTAATGCCCTCTACATTTTATAAAAAAAATGAACAATTTTTTACAAAAATAATGCAATAACCTATCATCGAATATTCATTATGTTCATCAAGTTATTTGTTTATCAAAAAACGATTTTTTATTAGAATTATTGTAATTAGATTATATGATATCAATCAAGTCAAGAAGCAATTTTAAATTAAATCAAAAAATTATGGCATGATAAAAATTGATATCAAATCATTATTTATGTTTGATGGTCTAAAAATTGGGTCAATTAAGACTTCAATAGACTAATATATTACTTTATTCGCAATGAAATTTTATATTTATTTTGAAAAGAACCTTTTGTGTCCTAAAACAATGAAAAAAATTGATCTACGACGTATACACAGGTGTTACCTGTACCATCAATGTCTAAATAATCTAGAATTATGGAATCATGGATGAATATAAGTGAGCCAAAACTCTAGAATTCATATCATTGATACGTGGATTATTCATAAGAATATTGATAATAATGAAATTTGCTGTATTTTGTTTTTTCATTTTCCAACAATTAACTTTTGAGATTATCAAGGTAAACTACCAAAATTCACTCTAAGAGAAATTCTTATTTTATCTAGTTTGTTTATAAAATTAACATCGGTTTTCTACATTCAGGCTCAATCATTAAGTTCTCCACACATTCAATTTGAGCCGCTAAGAGGAAAATCATTAAATTCTTACTCTATTCATCAATATGAAAATGTAAGTTATAGATACCGAAGGTACTGAATTTATTTATTGAATTATATTTGTATCAGAAGATGAATTTTAACAGGTATCGCCAACAAACAATGAAAAAACTGTACCAGTCTTTGATAAAGAGTTTACACCTTACTTTGGAAGCAAGAATGATATGAATCCAAGTTTGAACAATTTAGAACAAAAATATTCTTACCATACTCAAAACACTTGGAATCAAAATGTTCGACCAAATAATGTTGATCAAATACCATATTTGATTTACAATTCTGGAAATCAACCTTTGAAAAATTCGGTAATTGATATTAAATATTTTTAATATAATTCGAGAAATTTCTTAACAGTTACCAATACTCATCTTTATTTAATAATTATTGCTTAAATGTGCAAAAGAAATTATCAAAATCTTTTTTAAGTAAATTACAGAGATATTTTATGATGATTCAATATAAGTAGGATGACATTGGCTTATAAAAAATTGTTTAATGATTTATTAATATCTTAATTGAATTGAATTGATTGAACCATGAAATGAAACTTCTACTCAACCAAAAACAATATTCAAACAGAATATTCTAGATTAGGATAATAATGAGTATTACTTTATATTTATTAGAGTTATCAATTAGTAATAAATAACTCTTTTGATTGTTATAGAATAGCAATTATTTACCTGGAATTATCACAAAAACAGGAGATGCTGTAAAAGAAACTGCAGATGAGAATCACAATGCATTTAAAAATAGCATTAATTCTTTGGTAGCAGCTGGTGTTGCTAACACAAATGCTGGAAAAGATTTAATTCAGTCAGGTTTAGCTTTTGGTACTTCTTTTCCTCGATTTGGATCTAAATTATTCGGTCAAAGTGACAGCAGTCATCAAAAAAATGGATTTAATATTGGAGGTTTTCCTTTTTAATTAAAAGTTATTTTTAGAAAGATTTGACTTTCATGTCCTTATTTAATTTATTGAGTAATATTTCAAAATTTATTATTAATTGGAGTATATTTTATGCTTTAAAATTATTTAAAATAAATAATTGTCCGATAACTACCAAATGTAATAACCAAATAATTCAAAATTTACACATTGTTTTTCCTCAAAAAATTCCCATCCATTGATTTTTGATCAATTTATTCGGAATAAATCAAAATATAGGTAGTTGAATAATTTACCACATTATTGATGTAAAAATTATATCACATATAATATATATAAAATCGATAATAAATCCTTAAAAAAAAATATGTGAATCATTTCATAGCAGATAACTTAAATCAATATATGCGTTAATTATAATTACACAAAAGTCAACAATTTATTCAATATTTGCAAAAACTGGATCGTTAATCAACTAAAAGTATGACATTTAAACAAGTGTGATCTATATCGTAAGAATGTCAATGATCTTGAACGAAATTACTGTTATAAATAAGACGGAAGCGGCAAATTTTTGACAGAAGTGCAGCTTTCTGATATCGATTAAGTCTGATTCAAGGAGTGATGTTTTACTTTTTGATTATTGCCTTAATTGGCAATACATTACTGGTAAATGTCTTATTTTGACGTATACTTTTTATTTTATAATTTTTTTAACATTCATTTCTTTTTTTAATTTTTATTTATTTACTAATAGATAACTCCACCTGTATCAGCTCATTTTGGAAAGCATTTAGGTGGTGGATTTTCTCTAGGAGTTGGAGGTGGAAAGCATGCATCAATAGGATTTGGTCAAGGAATAAATAAACAAATTCAAGGTGGTTTTGGACTTGACTTCAATGTTGAGAAAAATGTCGGTGGTTCTGCAAATGGACAAGGCGGTGTTTTTTTTGAGAAGCACTTCGAAGTTGACGTTAATGCGAATAAACACTTAGGCGGCCATGGTGGAGCTGTTGGAGGAGGAGAATTTGTTGTTCAAGGAGGACATGGAGGTGTCAACAAAGGCTTCAATTTTAATTTAAATGTTGATAAAAATGTACACAGTCATGGTGGAGCTGTTGCAGGAGGCGAATTTATTATTCAAGGAGGACACTCTGGAGGTATTCAACATGGACATGGAGGACATTACGGCTATGATAACAATCAAGGTCACTCTGGAGGTATTCAACATGGACATGGAGGACATTATGGTTATGATTACAATCAAGGAGGACACTATGATTATGGCTATGTTCCTGGAAGTGTTGGAAAAGAAAAAGTAATTATTGAAGTAGTTGGAAATAAACATCCTCATAGTCATGGAGGACATTATGATTATGGTTACGTTCCTGGTACAGCTGGAAATGGACAAGTTGTCATTGAAGTAGTTGGTGATAAACATTATGGTTATGGTCAGGGCGAATCAGCTTGGAAAGATCATGGCTATGGATACGATGTCACTACTGAAAAGCATGTCAGTGGTCAAGGAAGTGGTTCCTTAGGAGGAGAATTTTCATTTGATGTATCTGGCGGTAACCAAGGATCATTCGGTCTTAACAAAGGACATGGAGGAAGTGTACACCAAGGATATGACTACGGGGTTGAAGCAGGAAAACAAACTTTAGGAGGAGGAGCAGTTGGAGGAAACTTCGGTTTTGGATACCAAAAACATGGTTCAATAGGTTTTGAACATGGTCTTCAAGGTAGTAAAAATTTTGATTTTAACATAAATGTCAACAAAGATATTAGTGGTGGACACTCCCATGGCGTTTCCGTTAACAAACAAGCATCATTCGGTTTTGGATTGGGTGGTGGAGTACGAAAAAGTGGCGAATTCGAAGTAAATTCTAATACTGGAAGAGGAAATGGCTTTTACTACGAATGGCATGGTAATCGTGTACTATGTCCGAATAGATATCCCCAATATCCTTCTGAAAGCGGTAACACTAATAGCGTAACTGAGTCAAATTCAGGAGTTACTACCACTGATACTACGAAAGTTGAATCAAAAGACCACCAAAGTAGACAATTTTTATTTGAATCCTCGGCTGAAAACAAATTCAACCCACCACCAGTAAATCCTAAAGATGGAGTCCCTGATGGATTAAATTTAGTGGAAGAACCAAGACCAGAACTTCCAGCTGACCCAAGGAGAAGACATAAAAAAAAAGATTCAGATGATGACGACAATAAAAAAAAGTCGGTAACAGGTCAGCTATCATTCGAACATTCGGAAAGCAGAGAATCTTTTGCAAGCAAAAAAGATCGTTCTGAATCAGGAAAAAAATCGTTCACCAAAGGAATAGGTCACGGCCTGAAAAAGGAAAAAAATTTAAACATAAACGTCAATGTAGATAAAAATGTTGTTACTAAAGGAGAAGGATCGTCTAGCGGAAGCTTATCATTAGATATAAGTAAAGATAAGACATTCACCTTGGGTAAAGACAAAAGTCGTGGTAAAAAAAAAGAAACTAATGTAAATATTAACATACACCTAAACAAAGATACGACCAATACAGTAAGTGGATCATCAAATAATGAGCTATCATTAAGTGGTAACAGTAATCAGCAACACCAAATAAGTAGTGGATGGAATGCTAATGATGACAGAGAAGATCATTGGAACATGAACGGTAATGTGAACAAAGACACATCTCACCAAGCAAGTGGATCATTAGGAGGTAGCTTTTCTCTCAGTGGAAGCAGTGACAAACAAGGATCATATGGTGTTGGTTGGGGTCAAGGTGGAAAACAAGATAGTAATGCTCACATTAATGTAAATGTGAACAAAGACACATCTCACCAAGCAAGTGGTTCATCAGGAGGTAGCTTTTCTCTCAGTGGAAGCAGTGACAAACAAGGATCATATGGTGTTGGTTGGGGTCAAGGAGGAAAACAAGATAATAATGCTCACATTAATGTAAATGTGAACAAAGACACATCTCACCAAGCAAGTGGTTCATCAGGAGGTAGCTTTTCTCTCAGTGGAAGCAGTGACAAACAAGGATCATTTGGTGTTGGTTGGGGTCAAGGAGGAAAACAAGATAGCAATGCTCACGTTAATGTAAATGTGAACAAAGACACATCTCACCAAGCAAGTGGATCATTAGGTGGTAGCTTTTCTCTCAGTGGAAGCAGTGACAAACAAGGATCTTTTGGTGTTAGTTGGGGTCAAGGAGGAAAACAAGATAGCAATGCTCACATTAATGTAAATGTGAACAAAGACACATCTCACCAAGCAAGTGGATCATCAGGTGGTAGCTTTTCTCTCAGTGGAAGCAGTGACAAACAAGGATCATTTGGCGTTGGTTGGGGTCAAGGAGGAAAACAAGATAGCAATGCTCACGTTAATGTAAATGTGAACAAAGACACATCTCACCAAGCAAGTGGATCATCAGGTGGTAGTTTTTCTCTCAGTGGAAGCAGTGACAAACAAGGATCATTTGGCGTTGGTTGGGGTCAAGGAGGAAAACAAGATAGCAATGCTCACGTTAATGTAAATGTGAACAAAGACACATCTCACCACGCAAGTGGTTCATCAGGAGGTAGCTTTTCTCTCAGTGGAAGCAGTGACAAACAGGGATCATTTGGTGTTGGTTGGGGTCAAGGTGGAAAACAAGATAGCAATGCTCACATTAATGTAAATGTGAACAAAGACACATCTCACCACGCAAGTGGATCATCAGGTGGTAGCTTCTCTTTAAGTGGAAGCAGTGACAAACAAGGATCATTTGGCGTTGGTTGGGGTCAAGGAGGAAAACAAGATAGCAATGCTCACGTTAATGTAAATGTGAACAAAGACACATCTCACCAAGCAAGTGGATCATCAGGTGGTAGCTTCTCTTTAAGTGGAAGCAGTGACAAACAAGGATCATTTGGCGTTGGTTGGGGTCAAGGAGGAAAACAAGATAGCAATGCTCACATTAATGTAAATGTGAACAAAGACACATCTCACCACGCAAGTGGATCATCAGGTGGTAGCTTCTCTTTAAGTGGAAGCAGTGACAAACAAGGATCATTTGGCGTTGGTTGGGGTCAAAGAGGAAAACAAGATAACAATGCTCACGTTAATGTAAATGTGAACAAAGACACATCTCACCAAGCAAGTGGATCATCAGGTGGTAGCTTCTCTTTAAGTGGAAGCAGTGACAAACAAGGATCATTTGGCGTTGGTTGGGGTCAAGGAGGAAAACAAGATAGCAATGCTCACATTAATGTAAATGTGAACAAAGACACATCTCACCACGCAAGTGGATCATCAGGTGGTAGCTTCTCTTTAAGTGGAAGCAGTGACAAACAAGGATCATTTGGCGTTGGTTGGGGTCAAGGAGGAAAACAAGATAGCAATGCTCACGTTAATGTAAATGTGAACAAAGACACATCTCACCAAGCAAGTGGATCATTAGGTGGTAGCTTTTCTCTCAGTGGAAGCAGTGACAAACAAGGATCATATGGTGTTGGTTGGGGTCAAGGTGGAAAACAAGATAGCAATGCTCACGTTAATGTAAATGTGAACAAAGACACATCTCACCAAGCAAGTGGTTCATCAGGAGGTAGCTTTTCTCTCAGTGGAAGCAGTGACAAACAAGGATCATATGGTGTTGGTTGGGGTCAAGGTGGAAAACAAGATAGCAATGCTCACGTTAATGTAAATGTGAACAAAGACACATCTCACCAAGCAAGTGGATCATCAGGTGGTAGCTTCTCTTTAAGTGGAAGCAGTGACAAACAAGGATCATTTGGCGTTGGTTGGGGTCAAGGAGGAAAACAAGATAGCAATGCTCACGTTAATGTAAATGTGAACAAAGACACATCTCACCAAGCAAGTGGATCATCAGGTGGTAGCTTCTCTTTAAGTGGAAGCAGTGACAAACAAGGATCATTTGGCGTTGGTTGGGGTCAAGGAGGAAAACAAGATAGCAATGCTCACATTAATGTAAATGTGAACAAAGACACATCTCACCACGCAAGTGGATCATCAGGTGGTAGCTTCTCTTTAAGTGGAAGCAGTGACAAACAAGGATCATTTGGCGTTGGTTGGGGTCAAGGAGGAAAACAAGATAGCAATGCTCACGTTAATGTAAATGTGAACAAAGACACATCTCACCAAGCAAGTGGATCATCAGGTGGTAGCTTCTCTTTAAGTGGAAGCAGTGACAAACAAGGATCATTTGGCGTTGGTTGGGGTCAAGGAGGAAAACAAGATAGCAATGCTCACATTAATGTAAATGTGAACAAAGACACATCTCACCACGCAAGTGGATCATCAGGTGGTAGCTTCTCTTTAAGTGGAAGCAGTGACAAACAAGGATCATTTGGCGTTGGTTGGGGTCAAGGAGGAAAACAAGATAGCAATGCTCACGTTAATGTAAATGTGAACAAAGACACATCTCACCAAGCAAGTGGATCATCAGGTGGTAGCTTCTCTTTAAGTGGAAGCAGTGACAAACAAGGATCATTTGGCGTTGGTTGGGGTCAAGGAGGAAAACAAGATAGCAATGCTCACATTAATGTAAATGTGAACAAAGACACATCTCACCACGCAAGTGGATCATCAGGTGGTAGCTTCTCTTTAAGTGGAAGCAGTGACAAACAAGGATCATTTGGCGTTGGTTGGGGTCAAGGAGGAAAACAAGATAGCAATGCTCACGTTAATGTAAATGTGAACAAAGACACATCTCACCAAGCAAGTGGATCATTAGGTGGTAGCTTTTCTCTCAGTGGAAGCAGTGACAAACAAGGATCATATGGTGTTGGTTGGGGTCAAGGTGGAAAACAAGATAGCAATGCTCACGTTAATGTAAATGTGAACAAAGACACATCTCACCAAGCAAGTGGTTCATCAGGAGGTAGCTTTTCTCTCAGTGGAAGCAGTGACAAACAAGGATCATATGGTGTTGGTTGGGGTCAAGGTGGAAAACAAGATAGCAATGCTCACGTTAATGTAAATGTGAACAAAGACACATCTCACCACGCAAGTGGTTCATCAGGAGGTAGCTTTTCTCTCAGTGGAAGCAGTGACAAACAAGGATCATTTGGCGTTGGTTGGGGTCAAGGAGGAAAACAAGATAGTAATGCTCACATTAATGTAAATGTGAACAAAGACACATCTCACCAAGCAAGTGGATCATCAGGTGGTAGCTTTTCTCTCAGTGGAAGCAGTGACAAACAAGGATCATTTGGCGTTGGTTGGGGTCAAGGAGGAAAACAAGATAGCAATGCTCACGTTAATGTAAATGTGAACAAAGACACATCTCACCACGCAAGTGGATCATTAGGTGGTAGCTTTTCTCTCAGTGGAAGCAGTGACAAACAAGGATCTTTTGGTGTTAGTTGGGGTCAAGGTGGAAAACAAGATAGCAATGCTCACGTTAATGTAAATGTGAACAAAGACACATCTCACCACGCAAGTGGTTCATCAGGAGGTAGCTTTTCTCTCAGTGGAAGCAGTGACAAACAAGGATCATTTGGCGTTGGTTGGGGTCAAGGAGGAAAACAAGATAGCAATGCTCACGTTAATGTAAATGTGAACAAAGACACATCTCACCAAGCAAGTGGATCATCAGGTGGTAGTTTTTCTCTCAGTGGAAGCAGTGACAAACAAGGATCATTTGGCGTTGGTTGGGGTCAAGGAGGAAAACAAGATAGCAATGCTCACGTTAATGTAAATGTGAACAAAGACACATCTCACCACGCAAGTGGTTCATCAGGAGGTAGCTTTTCTCTCAGTGGAAGCAGTGACAAACAAGGATCATACGAATCTAGCTTAGGCATTAGTGGTAAACATGAAAGCAGTTCAGAAGTTAATGTTAATATTAACAAAGATTCTTCGAAAGCGGGGTCTTCAAGTAGTGGATTTTCGCTAGATCTCAATAGCAATAAGCAGCATTCATTTGGAACTGGATTAGGGCTTGGTGGAAAAAAAGACGTCAGCATCAGTCTCAATATAAATGTCCAAAAAGAAGGTTCCACAGAGAAGAAAGGTTTATTTGGATTAGGATGGGGAGCTGGAAGCAAAAAAGAGAGCAATGTTAATCTTAATGTTAATGCTCAAAAAGAAAGCTCTACCGAGAAAAAAGGTCTTTTCGGATTAGGATGGGGAGCTGGAAGCAAAAAAGAGAGCAATGTTAATCTTAATGTTAATGCTCAAAAAGAAAGCTCTTCCGAGAAAAAAGGTTTATTCGGACTAGGATGGGGAGCTGGAAGCAAAAAAGAGAGCAATGTTAATCTTAATGTTAATGCCCAAAAAGATAGCTCTACCGAGAAAAAAGGGCTTTTTGGACTAAGTTGGGGAGCTGGAAGCAAAAAAGAGAGCAATGTTAATCTCAACGTTAACGCTCAAAAAGAAAGCTCTACCGAGAAAAAAGGTTTATTCGGACTAGGTTGGGGACTTAGTGGTCACAAAGAAAGCAGTTCAAACTTTGACTTTAGCGCACACCAAGAAAGTTCTTCTGAATCATCATCAAGCGGTGGTTTTTCTCTCAATGTAAATAGTAATGGTCAGAACAATATCGACAAACATCTCTCAGTCAATCGTGAAAGTCATCACAGCTCCCATTCAAATAGTAACGTCGATGCTAGCTCCCACAATCAATTCATAAGTTATGGAGACGGCCACATCGGTGGAAGTGGATCATCAAGCGGTGAATTTGGATTTGAAGCTTCAGGTCATAAAGAGTTTTCATATAATCATGCATCTGAACAATCAAGTCAGTCTAGTTTCAATTTCAACAAAGAAATATCTGGTACTGGATCTATTTTAGTTGACGGTTCATCTGATGACCCGGTACGTCTCTATTTTCTTTCAATATATCTAATCAAAATAAATAATCTAAAGATATAATTATATCTAAATTAACATGTTATACAATACTTAATCAAAAATTTGTTCCAGGTCGGAGGGCATATTATTGGAATTCTTTCAGGTCTTCCAATAAATTATTCTGCTAAAGGACAAAGCACAGAAAAAACGACAGAACAAACCATACAACAAACCACAGCGGCTGCTTAAACTTAATTTATTAAACTAGAAATATTATTTATTTATTATTGTATTGTGTTTATTACCAATCGATTCATCTATGTCAAACATTGAAGATCACATTCGCCTTGTATCTTTCGTAAAAGTCTTAATCTATTTATACACTTCAGATCAATAAACAAAATTATTAATATTTTACAGTTTATCACTTTAATTAATTATTAAATTTCCAATTTATTTGACTCATATAATTAATTTTTTTAATTCAAAAACTACACATGTAGCCAGATGGCGAGACGTGAAGATTCTTCTTGAACTAATTCTTTGGCACTAACTATTTGGTTGACGGTTGATAACGTAGACTAAGAGAGGCATTTATTTTTTACTTCAAGCAACTATTCTTACATTAAAAATTAAATAAAAATAGTACTATTAATCGATGAAATAAAATAATAAGTTTCACAAATATTAATATTAAGTGTAATATGGTTTGGTATAATAACAAAATAATTTTCATAACGTACAATTCAAAATATGGTGCAATATTAATAAGTTGAGGTTATAAAGCCGGTAAAATATTTTTATTAAATTATCCGTTATTTAATTGATAATTATTCAAAAATTCATATTACAAGTTACCTCTAAACGATTTTTTGATAAGTAAAGGCAATAGACAATAATGGAGCGTATTCAATTTCCTGTAATAGATGAAAAAGATCCACAACAGATTTTTTCTCGAATGCTGACAGAGGTAATGAACATTTCTTTGTTTAAAAATTTACAAAAATACACAATCTTATTGTAAGGGAGAATAAACAAGTGGTAATTTTACACTATTCAATTATCTTTCTAGCGTCTTAAACACAATAATGACCAGACAAAGTGGTGGAATGATTACAAAAAAAGGCATGAAAAGGTAATTGAAGGATTACAAATACTTCCTCAAGATCTTTCTTCAAATTGCATGGTACCAATTGGTAAACGTGCATTAATGAAAGGAAAGTTAACTCATACAAATGAAATTATGGTTTGCCTTGGTGATGGTTACTTTGCTAAATACAGTGCATCACAAGCAATTGCTCTTTGTGAACGTAGAATCAAAAGTAAGTATCTGTATTCATTCTTATGCATTTAAGTCATAATTTAATTAATTTACAAAATATTTCATTTTACTTATCGTTCTATTAGTCTACTGAGAAATATTATGATATTTATCGCTTCAAAATGTTTCCACAGGAGCAAACGAAATGTTGGAGCACTTAGAAAAAGAAAAAAATCTATTTGAAATGAGACAATTGATTCCGAACATATATAATGTATTTGAAAATCCAGGCCAAAAAGACATAATTGAGTATTGCGAAGAGAAAGAAATAAATGATTGGAGAAGTGAGTATTTGAGAATTGTTCTTCTTTTAGAACCATGTGTTTTAAATTTAAGCGAGATAATTTTAAACAGTTTAGCAAGAGTATCAGAAAATTTTAGTTCTTTACAAAAATTTCAAATCTTTATCATTTTTAATTTTCTTTATGATGGAAAAGAAAATTTATGCTGTTTGTTGATTGTTTTCAGATGAACACAGGCAGCGGGAGAAAGAATATAGAAAAAAATTAGCTGAGTTAAAGAATACATGTAAGCAGGAAATACAGTCGCCAGAAGATCTTTTTAAAAAACTTGATGCTTTAGAACTTCAGGAAGAATTAGAAGATGAGCTTATTAGGTAATGTTCAATTGATTAAGTTTTTTTTTAATGACATTTTAGTAATTGTCTTTTCTTGTTTGAATACTAGATTAGAAGACGAAAATCAATTAGACGATGATCAGTATTATGATGAGTCCGAAGTTGATTCTGAATCATATTCGTCTGATTATTCTGAAGAGGCAACCAATGAAGTTCATCAAAAAAAATCATCGAAAGTAAATCATCGGCTTCAAATATTAAATAGTGTAAATACATCTGAACTACAATCAGATTTGAAAAATTCACATAAAAATGGATTAAATTCTCACAATGTTCATGAAAATGATTCATTTAGCAGTACAAATAATGGAATGGAGCTTACCATTAAATCAAAAACAGAAGATTCCACTCCAGAAATGATAAAAGGGTCTGATAAATCAAAAACGAAAGAGAAAAAGGTCGTTTTTGCTGAACCTCAAGTAAAATATTTTAGTAATGAAGAAGAGATGGAAGTTGCTACAGAAAAAAGAAGAGTTTCAGTGATTGAACAACGATTATATGAATATTCTAAAGAAGATGATGAGTCTGAAGATGAAAGTGATGAAGATGAAACAATCCGAATTTATTTTAAACATTCTGATAAAGAATCTATTCATTCTTCATCAAATGGCGAAGAAATTCTAAGCCCACGAGACATTTATAAAATAATTCCTAGCCCAAAATCAATTCTTAAAAAGACTTCGGGTGATATTCAATATAACGTACAATCTTCACTTGTAAATAATTCTGCTTCAGAAGAAGAAAGCAATGCAGAGTACGATATTCCTTCTGCTTATGAATCTGTAAGTAATTAACTATTTTATATCGCTATTGTTGTATCATATGATATATTATTATACAAAATAGAGTAACGAAACTTGTGATTATTACAATTGTATCAAAATGAACTACAATTATAATTTTAACAAGCATTGATTTCCATTATCATCATTCATATGAATTATAATTCTAATAATTGTATGTAAATTCGATGTCAGGTTGAGATCACACTCTGTGTACTTGATTTAATTTATACGTAATTAATATTATATTATTATTTTGTCTATTATTCATTATGCTTCATTATTATGTTAATCATATAAATATTTCACACCAGTTTAAACCAATAACAAAGCAGTTTAAAATGAATAATTAAATCTTCTTGTTGTTTTTAGGTTGTGAAAGACGTAAAAGAAAGAGTAATCGAAACAAACGTGAACCCTCCAAAAACAACACAAAAACAGAAATTAGTTAGCAAATTTAAGTTGGAAAGAGCTGGACTCAAGAAGTGAATTACATGCAACAAAGTGATTTAATTACTGTATCAGTAAGTTGGATATTTTTTCGTTTAGATAATTATATTTTTACTACAATGCATACATTTTTATCGTTTGAAATATATTATGATATGATGTTAATATAAAAGAGTGTTGTTTCTTATTTATTATCATTTTACTGGGATTTTTTGTTCACCAACCGAAAGTGATAAAGATAATAAAACCTCTTAGACTGTAGTAATAGAAACACTCATTGTAATCGCAACTTTTTGCGTTAAATGCTGTTTCCCCTAACTTTATATGATCTAACTTTTTTTTTAGATCTTCTTGAACTTAAAGCAGTCCCTAGTGTCACATTGACGTATTTTTTGGTGTTCAGATTGGAAAATTTATTTTATTAATGAAACTTAAAAAGCCAGAAAAAATATATGACACCAATCACTATAAGTTTATGAACTTTCTTGAATTCCAGACACCAAACTTATTTATAGTAATTCAAAGCCTTTAAGTGGAATATGCCTCTCCTACTTTAGAAGATAATTCCTTTTGATTTTTGAATTTTTAAGTAACTTTCTAAGTATGCAATAATGCTATTGACATCGGATTGGTGGAGACGTCAGGAATAATGTGTAAATTACATAGATCATCAAGTTAATGTCCTAGTGCTGGTGCAGAACATGATAAGGTATGTACATGATTAGAGTAGATATATATGTATATATGTATATATTATACATATACATATGCTAATAATCCTTTGTTGAGTTATACTAAATTTAGAACACGATTAATTGGCATAAATCCTTTTGAAGATTTATTGATGTTGTCAATATTCATTTATAATAATACATAAACAAAATTTTATGTATAGAGTGAATATATTTTCATGCCAATCAATGGAATTAAGTGAATGAACTTTTTTTGAAAAATAATTAGCTCCATGTTTATAATAAAAGACTATGCGTTAAAACACTTTTGATGTTAATCCGCTTGCCTCATGCTTATCTAGATATTTTAAATGCAAGAAAATTATATTAAATTGGCTGAGTTAATTAGCTTTTCTTTCAATTGAATGTTCTTTATTCCTATCAAAGTTTTAAAATAAAAAATTTTAAATTTATATTTCACGTCAATTCGAGACAATTATTGCGTTATGATAATGAATCATTCATGATAGTAAAAATATTAATAAATTTTAATAAATAAAATCGTCTATTCTAAATTAGACATAATTTATGTAAATCCACTGTTTGTAGATTTTGCTCAACTGACTCAAATGGAAATGATCAATTTTTGCAGATCATCAATTATTAAAAAAAAAATTACTGGTATTTATCGCTAATAATTTAGGAAGCTTTAATAGCTTGTACTTATTTATTCATGTAAATAATTGAATGAAATTTTTTATGATCGTATAATCTCTATTGCGGTGGGTAATACTTCGGGAAAACTTTTTTGGTAGAGTGATAAATGAGAGTAGTATTTAAAAAGTAATTCAAAATATGGTGGTACCCGGATATAAAGGATTTGTATTGCTTAAATAATTGCTACTAACAATCTAAACATATGTTTATAAATATTTTTATTCTTTTATTAGTTGTAAAACTTCATTATTATAGAAATTTACAGATAATTTTATCCTTTCTATATAATTCTATATAATTATATTTCAAAATTCACAAAGTAGACATGAAACAATATGAGTTCTGTTCAGTAGACTATACGCGTCAGAAATTCATAGAGAATTTCTATAAATTTTTTTTGGTATTTCTCTGATAAGGGGAAAATTTGAAAGAAACAAAAGGTGAGAAAGTATACTTAATCGAATGATGTGCTTGCATTGCACGTAAAAACAAGCAGCTGTTTGTTCTAATAAAATATACCGGGTGAGACATGCGCCCTGTATCTTCTTTCGTTAAATGTTTAGCAGGGTAGTAAGTTTCATCCCTCAGTCTGGCGCCGCGTGCGATCCAAGTGCAAGCTCATTCTCGTGACTTGGTCCAATTTTTTCATTCGTATAAATAAAATATATCATAAATGATAAAAAAAAAAAATTATTTTTTATGATGGCAATTGATTTTATTTTTAATACAAAACACAATTAAACTAATTTTATTAAATTAAAAATTTCATTCTATGCAAACTATTTTTCATCACTCTAAACAATGCTCCAACTATCATGGCTAATAAGCTGTAATTTCTATATTGAAAAAATTCAAGTGAATGATAAGATTGACCGAAAGTGTAAGGATATTTTAAGATGCCAATAAAATAATAAATTATTGAAATTATTGATACATAGTTGATGATAAAATCAATGTGTAGAAACATTACCCAAGTGTAACATTCATTACTGTGATTTATGGGCACAAAGTTGGAGTTTCATTTGACACTTGTGCTATTGTAGATCTTTGTAGGTGTCTGCTAAGGAATGAAATGAATTTACCAAGTAGTCCTAGATCTTTTTCAAGGTCATACATGGCCTTGGATAGTAGAAAAGATAGTTATGTGAGAATAGTTTAATCGATTGTAGAGCTAGAATAATTAACTATGAGTCTCCAACACTTTGCAATACCCCTGACAATTTTGTTGAGTGTCCTCATATTCGCATTTGAGAAGACTTCAATTGACAAACCTAAGGAGCTACTCCGTCATCAACAGATCCACAAACCTCTGTTCATCGATCGTCGATTGACGACTCAAGATGTTAAATTTCCTGTGTCAAGAGTGTCTATGAACGCACGAAGGTCGCAACAGTTGGAGGAGCAAAAAGAATCAAGTGATGGAGAACACTTTGTTGTAACGGAAACCAACGTTGAGAAGCTTCAGATAAGGCATGGAAGGTCACGCGGTCATTTTGGCAGATCAAAAAAAGTTGGAGATACTAAATTAATTCAATCGATTTCTAAAGTATTTTCTCAAACTCCAAGTTACAAAATTTCTGCCATACACGATGAAGACAAGGTAGTAGTTGATGACGATGTTGACTCAATTTACTCAAAACTAACTGGAGCATATATCAACGATACTATTTATGAAGATATAGATTTCGAAGACTCGACACTCGCTAACTCGACTGCCAATTTGTCGCGGAGTATTTTACACTCAACTAACTTCGGCCACGTGACAAATAAAGAGGAAATAAAACGCCGTGGTAATACCTTTCAACAGCTTTACAAAATAACTGATGGTAGAAATAAAAAGCCAAAATTTATCAAAGTGGCAGATGTTGGAGAGAACATTACGAGGAATGAGAATATTTATGGAATGGTAATACACAGCCCTGTTGATGAAAGAAATTCAAATGAGTTTGCTGAAAAGTCTACCCTAGAAGATTACGGTTATGGCGTGGAACAAAACAAGAATTGGACTAATGAATTAGTTCATGTGAACGACGACGATGCTAACGATAAATCAATTGCAGATGGGACGACAAAAAAGCCAGATAAGCAGAGTGTTCAAGTGGACATTGTTACACGCTTCTTAAGAATAATAGAGAATCAGCATCTACTTGGTGAGAATTGCACTGCTGGAACGGATCTAAATCTTGGCGAAGGCGTGGTGGATCAGTACGCCCAGGAAAGGTTTAGACTGGAAGCAAACTTTGCTGTAAATCGAGCCAATATGTTGACTAGATTGTGGAAGTATGCTCCAGAAGTAATGCTTTCATCAGAATATCTTCTTCATGCCAGTGTGTTATCGATGGTGGAGTTTGATGAAGATATATTTGCAGCTGGAAATTGTTACGATAAAATGCAATACAGAGATCGTTGGCTTTATTGTCCATTTGCTCATCGTCTTCAAGATCAAGATGGTATTCTTGTCAAGGACCTGGCTGTAGAGTATAAATACTTGAGTAACAGCAGTGAGTGGTTTTATATAGCCAGGAAAAATGCTGAAAAGGTTATCGCCAACAATAACCAATTTAGTCGGGGTAAGTCGAGAACAAACATTATTTTTTTATATTATTGATCGAATTGAAAATAATCAATGAAGGAAATTTAAGTATGTTAACTGCTGAACAAAACCAAGTATAATCTATAAAAAGCTAAGATCCACAAGGTTTTCTTGCTTCTCTGTGAAATTTTAATTATTTTTTCCTTTCATTGAAGACAAAATTTAATTAAAAAAATTACTTCAAGACTGCATTTTTATCATCTTCTCAGTAAAGCTGATATTTTAGATGTTAGATGTGTGATAACAAAAAAATTAGCAGAATTAAAATGAACTTATTTGATAGGAACCGTTCTTTTCTTCGCTTAACTAATTGTAATTTCCTATGCTCGACATCACAAATGAATGTCTAAAGTTTTGAGATTCCTTACCTAGAAATCCCTCACTGTGAAAGTTTCCGCAGTGCAAATGAACATGGCAGAGATTTATTGTATACATAAAGCTTTTATTCTGGTAGGAAAAGTGACATTGAAAGTAATTAAGTGTTAGAAGACATATTTGGTTGTTTGAATGCCACATGCAATGAAGTAGAAGAGTATTTGGTAGATTCATTAACTCATTATTAGGCACTTTTCAACATGTATAATTATAGTGGTAATGATTGATGATTTATTTATTTATTTTTGATCACTATTTAAATTTAAATGATAATTAAAAGCATAACGCAGATTTCATCTATTCGATAGTGGTAATGGAATGCGATGGAATTAAAACTAATTTATGATTAATTTTTCATATGTTATAATTATGGGGATATTTTATTTGATAGAATTATACACTTTTTTCTATTTTGTAATCCATTTGAAATAACAAGATTTTTATCTATAAATTGTTGAATTATTAATTTCAATAGATCAGGATAAAGTAATTGAATAAAATTAATTGGATCAAAATAATATGAATAACATTTTCAAACCTGGAATGAGTTATGCTGCAAATACTTTTTCATGTAGCTTGAGAAAATTAATTTTAAAAATATTATTTGTAGGTAAATTATGGTTAAAAGTATAAATAAATTATAATTACATCGAACAATTTTGATTAACAATATGAGAATAACTATATTATATTTAATTCCAGTATGATATGGTGTTAAATATTAATATCAAAATGGATGAATATTTTTTTATTGATTTTACTTAAACCAAGATGTAAATCTATTTTACCTCATCCATATTTTAATAATGTATTTATGAAAATCCAGATTTTATGCTTTCCTTTTTTTTCCTCTTTTTTTTTTATTGGAGATTTGTAAATAGCAATCGTTGAAGTATTTAATTATACTGGTATAGGTAGAAATATTAAACAATACAAGTATGTATTCGTTTGTACATTGAAAGAAAGGAAGCAAGTTAATTGTCCTCAATTCAAAAAAATATACTCAATATTCTGAATCTATAATTTTTAATAGTTATTCTTAATTTATAACATTGTAGTTTTTATTTAAGAATATTCATATGCTTCATTTCAAACTAATTACTAAAATATCTCTAAATCATTACATTTTTTTATTTAATGTATCAATAATTATTCTAAGAAAGCTCATTGCAATTATAATGAAGCCTAGATAGCATTCTTACAGTTTTATCATTGATATAAATATTCAGTTGGAAATATATCGTAAAACATTGAAAATATCAACTTGATTTGAGGATAGTTTTTTTTCCAGGGTAAACAGTTAAGTATTAGTTAAATTTATCCAAGTTGAGAATGAACTTGCTGACAGTAGTATTCTTACGCTACCAACAAGAATAACATTCTTTACATTTTAATTATATTTTCTCAAGCATAATGATATTGTTTTGAAGTCCATCTTTTGAGATAAAAAAGATGAATGCCTTGTTGAAACTTTCGATAGTATTAATTTCAAATAGTATAGAAAATTTTATTGTAAATCAATAGTTAAAGGAGAAAACATTAAGAATCTCAATAATGTGCTATTCTTTTAAAATTATGAGATTAGTGGTTGAAAGAAAAATAAAATATAATTTATACGTGCAATCTTGAAATTTTAATCTGCAAGATAATAATATAATACACATTCTTTTTAAAAATAATACTTTCTGCAGAGATTAAATTATTCACTACACTATGTAAAGTGATACTTTTTTTCTACGATATATTTCCTTTTGAATATTTATTAATGATTAAATCGTGAGAATATCATCTACACTATATTATCATTTGAAACGAATACATTAAACTGAAAATTATATATTCCTACGTTCATTTGGTATCTTATCAAAAACTTAAACAGCAACTTTGTAGTCAAATAACTTTATATAGCATTGTAATATATAGAAAATTTACATTATAGATATGATAAAAGTCATTTTTCTTTCAAATTGTCATCAAGAGATGGAATTGATTTTAAATTTATAGACGAAAGTTTCTAATACTTAATAATTAAATTCAAATAATTATTTTGATTTAAGATGCCGCAAAAAGGCTGACAAGAAATTCTCAAGTGATATATAGAATAGTAGAAATTTGAATATAAATGATAATGGAGCAAAAAATGTATAAATCTATTCCGATTTAATAAGTTAATTAGTCACAAGAAGTTAAATTAAATTTGACGAGAACTCCGTCAGTTGCGATTAATAGAGAGTGCAGCTGATAACTTATATCACTATATATTCATCGAAGTAATAACGGAAGTCTATATTTGTGCCATGTCATCGATTTGTGGTGGCAAGGACTTCTAGCTTATTTTATCCCGAGTGACAACCCATCTAGTAGTTAACATTTTGAAAATCCGTTATTAATTAACGAGTGACGCCAGCGAAATTTCTCACTATATCGCATACTTATGTGCTAGCAAATGTTGAAATATTTCATTCCATTTATAGAAATGGAGTCTATTGAAGCTAAAATAAAACCGTTAGTAAGGAAAGTTTTTGTAACGATGATAATCAATGGTCTAAAATATTAAAATTTATTCAGTTTATCGCCCTATGAAGTTGAATAAAGGAAAAGAAAATAGAGTGAAATAGAATTAAAATAGTTGAGGGAGTTAGATATCTTTGACGTCAGGGAAAAATAATTCCAGTGAAATTGGCGAGGTCGAAAGGTGAATAGGTTGTAGCCAAAAAGAGGTATGCAAGTCAGGAAATATAGAATTAGATTCAAAGAAATAATAAGGCAGAAAGGATGGCAAAAAAGAAACTTGTGGTTATAGATTATTGGAAACTAGCAAGTTCAATATTCGATTACCTCACTGCCGTATACCGTATTTTTTAATCCTATTTAACATTTCCTAATTTTATCGGTAATTATTTACTCTTTGGAATAAATTGAATTTACCAACACACTGATGCACCATAAGCTTCCTAATTTTTCAAGAAAACTTTTCAAATCTTGTTTCATATCAAGTATTCATGTTATTTCTATGACACTTTTAAAAACAGCAATAATTTATTTGTCATAGTAAAAATATTTTTTATCATTTCTAACAAAATTTTCTACCAATTTATTTGAAAATAGTTGATATTGTAAACAAGGTAATGTTAAAGACTACCCACGTGTTCAAATTACAGCTCGTACTACTACACTACTTGTCATAATTTTTTTCTTGAATTACATTTTTCATCTTATTTGCATCTTATGCGGATTGTGTACTTTGGAAAACTCAGAGCTTCACTAGCTTTTCCAGGTAAATTTACCGAGGGTAATATGACCCTTCCAGTAGCAAAACCATAAATATGCAGAGTATGAAGGTAACAAGAACACGATTGTGAACATATGATGTTAGAAAATGTAGTACAAGTATACACAGCAAAAACTTTAAAATTTTAATGTTTTTTAGCAGTAAAGACACTTTACAAATAGAGTTTTATGCGGATTTGCTTACTTTGATATTAATATGCCAAGATTTATACCGATTTGGTGTGAAAAGCTAATTATGTTTACTATCGGATAAAACACGAATATAGAACGATACTTTAGTAGATAGTCACGCATTTTGTATGCGTTATTATGTACATAAATCTGTTTTTGCAGATGACACTATAATTAAGCACTATGATAATAATACTTAATTATCGTGTTTATGAAGTGTTTCTTCAGTATTTACATTCGAGTATTTATGTTTTATATTGTACATATATTTTAAAAGATAATGCGTGAAATGTATTTCACAAAAAAGACAGCTTTGTATTCAAGAAATGTTAAAAATGAAAGACTAATGACTGAAAGTACTTAGAGCATCATTATATGTATATAAATAATGTGCATAAAGTAAATGCATGCAATAAAATGCTGAAAGTTGAGATCATTGAAGTTACATAAAAAAAAATATGAATGAATTTACTTTGGTTACTTTAAAGTAAATGAAGGTAATAACAATTCATCAGAAAAGATAAATGACAAGTTAATGTTTAGAAATACAAAAGTATAAATATTTTTATTCAACAGCGAATTTTTAGTTATTATAGAAATTTGATTATTAAAAAAATGTCACAATAAAACAATTACTTACTGAAACTCAAAATTCACTGTTAGATAGAAATATTTTTTTACCTCTGTTTTAAAAAAAGATTAATTTGACAAACACGTAGAGAAATGTATAGGAAAAATCACCATAAATTTGATGGTAATTTTACTGTAATTTTACTCTAAAACAATTACTATGCAGTTTAGTAATTTTTACAATGTGTATAGTAATTTTTACCCTTACACTGCACTGGCACCAAATTACCATCAAATTTATGGTGATTTTTAATATAAATTTCTCTGCCTGAAGCGAAACCAAATTTGTTTTTACGACGGAGAATATTTGAATAACTTCTTTTGTCACTTCAAGTGATGATGTTGAAGGAAGACAAAAATTGTTGTGATGAATTTAATTATAAAAGAGACAATACGAATATAAACACGCTTTGTAATAAATATGATATGTTAATTGTTTCATTAATTAAAACATACACTTTGTGTAGTCTCCAGAATGATTTAATCAGAGAACAATTATAATGTTTAAAC